CATGAGCATACCGAATGACTCCTAGAACTTGTAATGGCATGCCCGTTATCCCCTCTAGTTTGAAACATTTCTGTGTAATTATTAGGCTAAATATTTAGAGGCTAAACCGTCCTGTGAGTAGTATGGAAATATGGTGCCCACATGCACAGTCACCAATAAAGATTTCTAGCTCGAGGAAAGAAGGACCCCTTTTTTTTGATGCCGCAAAGTGTTGCCGTACTTCACGTATTTCTTAGAATTTTGAAATACGGTGTATTTTTGACCCGTTAACCATACATGGGTCATGTAACAATTTAATTTCATCCGGGTTCAGCGAAAAGTAGAAGTTTACTGACCATGCTTAAAAGGCTATACTACTAGTAAGTACTATAAATCAACATTCTCCTCTTGAATTCCAGTGTAATCAGTTTTAATTCATTGATCTCACCACTTCTCATATATATATATGACCGCTCTCTAGAATTACTCCAGTACAATCCAGTAATTGCCTGCCTCGAGGAATTAAAATTACAATCATCACAGCCTCCATTACCAGTTTCCGTTTCGTAGCACTTTGACAGCCACCATCTCCGTGACCATCTCCGTGACCATCTCCGTGACCATCTCCGTGACCATGACCCTGTGTGAACTGGAGAATATAGTTAAACTCAGACTAAAATGACTGGTGGGCTGATCAAAACTTGGATCCAATTCCGCAGAACGTTTGGGTAGGAAATTGTCCCTGTTTAGTGTTTGTTATAGCTTTGTAATGTGTACACGCGGTGACAAACTCAGTTTATTCCACCTGCGTGGTATAAATCACGTTTACTTCAGGACCGTTTCGTATCATTAGCAGTAGAAATTGTCTTGAAATTTATGCATCGGCCAGTAATCACTAATTAGACAAGCCTAGGGACCGAACATTTCCAAGTTATCGCATAATATCGTCACGTCTGGGATTATCTTCATGCTTGGTGTATCTAATCTTCTCGCCATCCTGATCTCTGGTAGTCATTCCCGCGCATTTTGCTTGTGTTCGGCCTTATATACTTGACCTTGGCCATCATTTTCATGTAGGGAGTTAAGACGTAATAGTAAGACGATTAGTTGAATAATGAGCATGTCTTGTGCCCGGCCATTAGTGTTTTAATTCGACCGGACGTTCTACTTATCACTCATTGACACCTCGCCAGCTTTACGCTCTGTGACCGCTCCGAGTGACCAGTTTAACGCTCTAGGACCAGTTTAACGCTCTAGGACCAGTTTAACGCTCTAGGACCAGTTTAAAGCTCTAGGACCAGTTTAACGCTCTGAGACCGAGCTACGTTTGACTATGTGTACCTTCCACTTTTGGGTGGAATCCCTGGATTTCGAGCTATACTTTGAGTGTCTGGATATTGACTGTGGGTGGTTGAACTGCGGTGCTCCCGAGTCTTCCTGTCTCTCTGAGTTAGGATTCTTAAAGGGTGTTCAGTAAGTTTAAACTGTGTCACGTGTACGGTGTATCTGTCTTGTGATCACTTACATTCATCACCGCCATCACTGTGACACCACTGTGACACCTTCTCAAATCACTCAGCAACATATCATTTAAATCACCTTTTTGCGATTTTGTTCGCACGCAAAGTAGCAAATAATTGTGGGACTGATGTTTTGTGTGTTATATAACACAGTTCCTCATTCTCTTGTAATTGTTGAACAGATACGATTCTGATGGCCACTTCTCCTTGTCTACTTGCGATGGAGGAAAGGTGGGTCAAACAAAATGTTTATGATTTCGTTTAACTGATAGGCAACATAGCCCCAAACACTATCTGTGAACTACTGTATAGCACATGCAATTTGTGGATAGATAAATTCACTCTGAACAATCGGATAGAATCTGGGCATCTCGTAAAATAGGACTATCGTGTTAAACAGTACATTTATCCGTTCGTGTTCTAAAAAACAATATATTTATTACAATTGTACCTACGATATAGCAACAAACAAGAAATGTGACTAATGGTGTAACACTAATGTACAGTACTAATAGTGGTCACCAGTGCCGATCTTGATACTGATGAGGATATTTAAATCGGTATCTTGGTTTAAATGCTTGAAGAATGTTGTCACACTAAAACGTGTAATTGCCAATTAACACAGTTATGCTATCAGTCATTGGTCAGCACTATGGCGCCTAAGCTAACCCAAATCTTGATAAAGATACTTTTAGCTTTTTGATACTTATAACCAAAGCTGTTTATAAAAAGTCTGGATCTAATGATAATAGCTGTCGACTCTCTTGAAAATAGTCATGCTAACAACTTGAAATAGTAGATGGTGCTTTGAACTACTTGTACTCTTCAGGCTTGTCCGCCGTGGCTAAACCAGTCGGCGGCGGCGTGGGCCTGAAACCTATAACCGGCGGCGGCGGCGTACGCCGGCGTGAGATCGACCCTAAATTTGGTCTATTATCGTGCTTTTTTTCCGACAATATGAGTAAATTGAAGCTGTGCAAAAAGTTGATTTTTATTTTATTTATTATATTTTTCAATCTGAAATTAAATTTTGAATAAAACTTTCAGATGATCATACGGAAAAATTCGATTTAACATAATTCACGCCACGCCGTCGTACGCCGTGGGTGGTACCGGCGGCGTGCGGCGTGGTAAAATTGACCGGCGGCGTTCGGCGGCGGTGGACAAGCCTGGTACACTTGTACTGACATTTGTGGAGTATCACTTTAATTTGTATTTCTCTGGTTGGGTCAATAATGTGCTCATTTCGTACATTATTATCTTGAAATTACTTTAACCAAACATATTTAAATTAAACATGTACGTGACAGCTCATTGTACGTGACAGCTCATTGTGTTGATCAACGTGACTTAACTTAAACTGTTAAAATGACCAAGATTAAACTGTTAAAATAGCAACTCACGACCTAGTCTTTACAGTTTGTGAGTCGATTAAATCCATTATTAGACTGCCTCTGGGCGATGAAAACAGTAACAAGATAAAATGATGAACGGGAAAAAAATAGGTTTGTGTCCGTCTGCCCGGCACCTCATTGATTGATATTTAACTGCCCTTCTAACTTTCTTAATCGTTACTTAAAAATGGAGCAATTTTTTAAGCATAATTGCCGATCAGAGTTCAAATGAATGTCGTTTCATGTCAAATTATAAAAGAAGTTCAGTAATGTTAATGTGGAAGCATTTTGCGACTTCGCAGTTTTAACCGTTTTTCCCCAATTATGACTTTGAGGAGATCTACCAGTTCCATTTTTATCTTACAGCGTCTGAAATCTACTGTCTTCTCGCAAATCACGTAATATACAGGGTGGGCCGAAAGTCAGTGAGCATACGTTGGCCTTAACAGCTCCGCCGTGTTTTATATTTGAGAGCTGTTGCTTTGCAGATGGCATACTGTACTTACTGGTTCGAGGATTCCGTCGTCAAAATTTGAAAATTCGAATATTTTAGAACACGCCCATTCAATATTAAAACACCTATATTGTTTTCTCTGAACATTCTGAACGCCTAATTTTTTCAGAGACGGTAGATTATTAAATGTTGCATATGATCAGAAAACATGAGGCAAAACGGATTAGAAATGACAAAGTTATCAAGCATTTTCTGTATCTCGTTAACAAAATTGACTGGGTGATTATGTGACACCGTGACAGAACACCTTAATTGGGCACCCTTAACATTTCCCATAATGTTTAATGGGGTGTTTAACGGGGTGACCTAATCTCGTGATTAGGTAAACCAATCACCTGATCACACGTAATGAATAAACTCGTTATGCTTAATATCCTGGTCTTCTGAGAAGCTACAGTTCTAATTTTTCAGGACAAACGTAATTCGAATGGCCAAACACAATTAAATAAAATTTAGCTCGATCCGACTATCCAAACTATCAAATAAATGCAAAAATTAACCTTCATTTGAAAAAAATGAACTCGAATATTTTTCGATTTGACAAATTCCTCGAACCAGTGGTGGTAGTAAGTCATACCAGAAAGAATTATTTCAATTGGGCACTCAGTGACTGAGCTATCAAGGCCAATGTATGCCCACTGACTTTTGGCCCACCCTGTACCAATTTACTTTTTCGCCCAATAATCCCACTTCTCGGCTTAATTTCTGAGCGAAAATTTCGCTAATTTCCTAGTACAATTAAATACAGTGAGGACCGTACAATCGTACATGCAAGCACATAACACACCCTGGTACACGCCCTGGACACCTACTCTGTTACTAGGATACCGCCGCGTAACTCTGCTGCTAGGAAACCGCCGCGTTACTCTGCTCTATAACGCCCAAAATATTTTTCAAATTTCCTCCACATTAACATGAAATGCTATATGCATTAGTTAACAAACGATTATCCATGACGTAAAATGACGTACTTTTTGTTGTAAATGAATGCTTTTATTTAGTATTAGTAATGGCTCAATAACTACCAACCTCGAAATTAAGAGCAAATGAAACTCCTCCCAATATCGGCCATATCCTTATCCGTTATTAAGCATGAAAGTTGGGTAAAGCATAGCTTAAAATGGCGTTCGTTCCATGACGTGTCTGTAATAAGTAATTAAATGGTTATGGAATACATGAGTTTTCATACAACCGTCTGCCTGCGGAAAGTGTAGTTGCGGTGAGCTTATCTCGTTTACGATACCGGGCATGGGTTGGTTAAGAGACGTCCGGAGAGACGTCCGAGCACATAATTTCACGTCGTTTGAGTCCTATGTACTGGTTTTATACACGATGGATTAGTCCTACTAGTTGAGAAGTTTTTTATCACTCCGAGAGGGACCACCATTCACCTCGCTGTTCCATGATCACAATGGAAATCATGGTGAAACTTCAATGTTTGATGAACGAGGTTTATGGAATGATCCTCAATTTTACCTCGTTCTCCGCTGACGATTCACGTTACTGGAAGAAGGAGCCTAGGAAGGAGCAGAAGAGATTCCTGCCCTCAATCTCCTGGTTCAGGGACAATGTTAACCTGGCCTCCTATTTCAGTGTTGGAGTTCCTGAGATCACTGAGGATCAGTTCTTCGAGGACTTTTCTTGCATTAACCAGATTCAAGCGAAAAAGAGAGGACAAATCAATAAAGAGGTTTGTTACAATTAGACATGCTCTTAAGTATTCGTGGTGTTTTTTCTAATGTTAATGTACACAGTTTTTCAGCCCCTATTTCAATCTTGATTACTGGTTTGTATCCAGTTACCATTGAATATGATTGAAAACATTTTTGACAGGTTTATAGTCGGAAACGAGGTTTGTGTCTGCCAAGTGCTGCCACTGCTGAGATATCATGCCTGAAAGTTTCCAATGTCGAAGTCGAGGTAACCACTGTCCACTTGGATTATTGATCATTATGATGAGAAATATTCCTTAAAATTTCAACAACATTTTGTCTAATATACATTAAGGATACGAATAAGATACAAAATATAAAAGGTATAGTATTGTATAATGTATTGTCGTATTATATTATCCATATTTGCTGCAAATGATGACACATCTAATCCTATAAATATATCAGAAAGACAAGCTGTTCAAGCAGCTGGTAAAGATTGCAATACATAGATCATGTAAATATGGTGGATTAGAGAATGAGGAATTCTACTCCAAACAGGTTTGGAACTCTTTGCTAACTTCATAACATTGTACACTTAATTCAAAGTGACAGTTTATCTCAATGACAGTGTCTTCTAACTAATTAATATGATTTTAGATATTCAAAAAGACGGACGAGGATTACTACATGTTTGCTGAGCTCGTCAAGAGTGAAAACATGATTAAACATGTTCTCGATATATCCTTGGTCGAAGCAAGGCACCTTATTGGAAAGGATATCGAAGGTAAATTTGTAACATTCGACCAGAACTTAAGAACTATAGGCTAAAATAGTGTGAGGAGCAACATAATGTACATTTTAGATATTTTCATTCAATATTTCGAGGAAAATGCTGTTTCCTATGCGGACTGACGGTTCTCTCCTGGTTATAATCATTCTTTTATTAGATAAGGTCCAGATCACCATGGAATATGGATCGAATCTTTAACTTTTCATAATTTTATTTTTTACAGTCGTACTTATTATAAAATTCGAAATATTTACTATGTCTTTCTCTAAACAGGTACAAGTGATCCGTACGCCACGATACACATCATGTCAACAAAGAAAGGGAAAGACAAAGATGCAGACAACGATAATTTCAATGTAACCAAGGTTGAATTCGCTACCCTCAACCCCAAATGGAATGAAAGCTTCACAATGTAAGTGTGTGGTGTATGTCATGTGGTGTTTCACAATGTAAGTGGCATTTGATGAAAGCTTCACAATGTAAATTGTAAGTAGCATTACCTCACAATGTAAGTATCATTTGAAACCTTATTGAAACTGTGAATCTGAGCTAGAAATGGAAATGTAGCCATTAAAGTTTAATCTTGGTGTATGTCATGCCTTTCCTTTTCATCTTCGGAAGCGAATTTTCTGAAAATGTGTAGCGTTTGAACTTCTAAATCTAACTTCTGATATGACTCATACGCTTGCTGCATCTCTTGATTAACACAGGCTTGCTACTGCAAATAATTCCTCTGGATCCATAGTCTATACCTGTGTAGTAAAGTAGGATTAGGGTCAATTTATTAGGGTCAAGTGTATAACAATAAATTGACCCTAATCCTACTTTACCATACCTGTAATTATAAATCTCGCCAGGAGCCTATCCGGCTCAAAAGCCGACTTTAAAGACGAAGAAGTGGTGGTCATGTTGTGGGACCATGACGAGGAACAGTCAGCTCGGGCCGCCGTCAAGGAACTGTCCAAGATAAAGTCCGTAGGAGGACTAGGCAGGTACGGTCTTCTCGTTCAGGAACTGTAAATAAAATACAGCATGTAAACTAATTGTTATATGTGTATTTTTTATTCTTCCAGCGTTTTCAGCGAATATACAGTGAATACACTACAAATTATTTCTAATAAATCTATGTGAATTAAGTTTAGGATTCCCCACGCGATTATGACTATGATTCAGGTACATCACACAGTTGGCTCAAACTGCGGTCAGCAACAAAAACGCGCACGACTTTCTGGGAATGGTTACTGTTCCAATAAAGGTTTGTCATATAATGTTTTTTGGGGTTACAATTCCATTCCAATTCTATCGTTGCATTGACGTTCGCATAAAAATGCCCCCCAGCAAATATGTACTCATGGTTTTATATTTCAGTCGATCCCAACAAATGGCCTCGACGAGTGGTTTCCTTTACAACAGAGAACTAGCAAAAGTAAAGTATCGGGGGAAATTTTACTGAAGTTAATCGTCAATTCTGTCGACGTAAGCAGTTTTATTTTGGTTTATCTTTTTCATCTGCAATCATTGATCATGGTCAGCTTTTTCTTTTAATTATTGAAGTTGTACTTAGAGAAACTAAAAGTAAAAGTTATAATTTAATCGTTACCCACAGGCGGGAGTTCAAGAAGAAAGAAGCAAGCTGTTCGCACTACACAAACAACTCTTCACCTTTTTACTGGCGCACGAGGGAAAGCGACAACATCAGGGTGCCATCCACATGTGGGGCTTTAGACTGCCCAGGTGAGTATTTGTAATGATTCTTATTTGTTTATTTATTTCAGTTTATGCTAATATTTACTAATGTTCTAAAATGTTTCAGAATAAATTTTTTTAAATTCTACTTCAGTTTAAGTCACTGAGGTAAAGATAGCATTCTCAAATTATTTGTTATATAGTAGTGTTGAACGCTCTACTTCACCAGGGAATCAGAGATAATCCTGGAGATGCACCAGCACTTCGCTGGGCTCACCCTGGAGCACACAACCATTGCTAAATGGCAAGCTCAGTGTACCCACTATATTGAGATTGGTGGTAGCGAGGAGGTCTTGATTGAGACAATGAACGAGCTTATTGAGTGTCCTGATTCTATTCTAACTACTGAAGAGGTTATTTGAGATGCCTGATTATTCTATTTTATCTTGTTTATTTCTAATGAAAATATTTAAATTTAATGTTGCAATATGAATCCAGCTCAGTCATCATTGGTATTAAAAGCAGTCAGGGGTTCAAATATTAAGATAATTGTTCCATGTGGAGCAACTAAGCACAGCTTTTTGTATTTATTTATCCACAACAGCTCTTCCAAGGAACGCTACAACACTGTTAATTTACCTTCTTAACAACCCTACAGGCGGATGAGCTGTTGCTCACTCTCAACTCGTTTGGTAACTACGTCCGTTTCCTCCTCTCAGAACTGCCCTTTGTTTGCTCACCCCACAAGAAGACCGATATCAAGACCTTATCAGACCTTGTCAGGTCTGTTAAAAGTTTCCGGGGTTAAACTGGTCGATATAGTAGATAACCCGTTTTGGTATTTCTGGTATCTGATCAATTATTGTGCCTATTTGTTTATGAATGATGTTGTTGGTAATCATCGAAGGGTCGAGAGAAGCCATGAATCTTCTTAGTCAATATACAATAATATATTATCAGTATCACCTTTAACTCTTTAATACCTTGTTCTCCAGTGGGTATCTAATGTTGTTCAAGATGGATCTGTGGAACCCGAGACAGGTTACTGAGGAGACGGATGTCAGCAAGTTGTTGCAAACAGCTGCTACTGACCTCTACGCCAAAGTAAAGGCAGCCGACAATTCCAACCACCAAGACATGGTAAGAAATTATGATAAAATTGCAAAATTCCATTTTCTGGTTGGGCAGTTTTTTTGCATAATATGTAATATAATATATCATACGCCTCAATTATTATAATAAATTATAAACTTCATCATCTGTTTATTCAAGTAAAATAAATGAAAATTAAAATGTTCGCAGAAACAAGGTTGGGGAGGGGGGAATGGGTATTTTTTTGTGAAATTTGGCGGCCAAATTTTTTTGGAGGCCTACGGGTATCGGCCTTACAAAATGACAGGCCTCACAAAATGACAGCCCACATAGACAATGCTGTAGCTTAGGTTCCCTATACATTGAACCCTATTCCTTTTACTGTATGAAAGAAAAAGCATTAATTAACACTTCCCAAGGAATGATAATGACATAGAATCTATATTTCTTACATAAATATGGACGTTTTTGCTGTTCAGTCATTGCCCCGCCTAACTGTTACCCAGAATGGAGACCAAAGTTTAGAATTTAACCCCAGAAAACCAGGTACTACCATGACTTATGTCAATCAAAGACTACTCTGGTCAAATAAAAAAACTGATTTAGTGACTTTTGTAGAAGAAATGACAAAAAAATGACCTAGCCTCACAAAATGACAGTGTTATGCCTCACAAAATGACAGTTTTATTTTATGATACAAAGATGGCATATTTATATTGGATGCCCCTTGCCTAATTATTGGTATTCTTAAACCCAGTAAGCTTATGATGAGCCTTAATGTGTTTGTTTGATCATCAATTTTGATCAAAATGCCTCACAAAATGACACCGAAAAGCCTCACAAAATGACAATGTTTCAGATTGAATTACTTTCATCATCTAAAATGGATCAGAAACAGTCAATACAAGAAGGAGTTAAAAATAATCATAATCTGACAGTTAACAATCAAGTAGCATTTAAAAAGTGCAGTTCTGATATCAAAACTTTGATTTCAAACTCTTTGATTTCAAACTCTGAATTCAAAACTCAACGAAATAAAGCTTCTATTTTGTGAAAGCAGAGAGTAATAACAACTCCTAAAACATGTCAAACGTTAACTAAACACTGAAAAGTGATCTATCCAGTCATAGAAAATATCAAATATAACCAAATACTGTGTTCAAGTATGAAAACAAAAAATGATTTTTACGCCTCACAAAATGACATTTTTAAAATTTTTTCAAAGTACAAAAAATGTTCCTTTTTTAATATATTCTGGTAAAAACAGAACTGGTATAATATAAACAACATATATATCTAACAGTAAGACACGTGAAAGAATAATGAAACTTTTTCCCAAATCGGATTTGAAGTGATGCCGTTTTGGGTTGTCATTTTGTAAGGCACTATCTCACGCGAAATTGCCCAACTTTTTTTAATCATCCTTTTTCCTGTAAAAGCTATTCTAATCTTCAATCTATTATATTTATCTAACTGTCCTAGGTGAAATCAAATTTCTATAGGCTGCTGTTAAAAAATGACAGCCGTGACGAAATTGTCATTTTGTAAGGCATGTTTTTTTGGAAGATTTCAAAGATGACAATTTTTATCGCAAAATTTACGGTTTTTCAATCAAATCAACCCCCGGGAAGAAAAATATACCTGTTGAACTACCTATCTGGATAATAAAACATGAACAAAACTCATTTTTGTGCATTTCAGAGCCATCTCCTTTTTCGTGTCATTTTGTAAGGCCGATACCCGTAAATAAAAATCCGTTCTCAAAATAAGGTGGAAATGCGATTTCGAGTCGATTCCGAAAATTTCATGCAAAAATTTTGAAAACTGATTGAGTTGTTACAATTTTAATGAGATCAATTCCGCGAATATCGCGAACCAAGATACGGGCAATTTAGTTCATTTTTTGTGGTCTTTTCGCCTTAGTATCCACGTACATTTAAACAGATTTAAAGCTATAACTTACAGAGAACATGTAGTGTAGGCTTACCTTTCATATAAAGTAAGTTTCATTCAAAAATATTGATATTTGACCAATTTATGGGACGAAATCTACCAAATTTGGTGCGTATGCCCAAATATGGGCATATGGTTTTTGGCTCATAACTCAGTCATTTTTTGTCCAATCTTGACGAAATTTCATATACGAGTTCTGGAGACCACTAGCTACAAGTAGAGCACCTTAAACCTGGTTTTTGGGCATGTTGAGGGTATTTGGCTGAATTTGGCCTAATTTGGACCAAATATGGGCGTGGCTGCCCGGCGGGCACCGTTTGGCGGTTGGGGTCCGGGACCCCCTCAAAAGTTCGGTCACTGGTCCTAGTTTGTTGGTCAACTGCTATCTCGAAATCAAGCTTCACAAAAAATACCCATTCACTGTTTACATTGCACAAAAATGCTGAAAGAAATAACAAGAATTGTGTCTCACGGTCTCTAAACTTTATTTTCAATTTTTCAATTTTATTAATAAAAGTTTCCTTCGTTAATTAATGAGGTTTGCTCGTTTCCTATAAAGTAAAATTATTTGGCAAAAAAATATTTTGTTTTCTGGTTTTGTCGTAAATGTTCTGATCACTTCATCGGATGAATAAACGGGTGAAAACTGAAACTTTGAAGTTCTCAAGATTGAAATGAACGTTGAAAGATAACAAAAATAATCAACTTAATCTGTAGGACCATACTACCGGTTGGCGGTTACCCTTCATTCTTCAATCTTCAACCATTTCAATAGAATCAGTTGATATTTTGAATGACCATTTTATATTATTTGTATTATATTATATGTAATCTGATGACCAATTGGTATAATATTTGTATAATACTTGTATAATGTTTGTGTGTTATTTGGTGTTATGTCTGTAATACTAACAATTGCAGCCCAAACAGCATCTGACTTGCTTTGGTTTGGTAAGTTGAATAAATGGGCGATCGTTTTAAATTTACTGCATGAAAAAAAAAAGGATTATGATTGTTTTAGAGTTTGGTATAGTAGATCTTATTGACTTTATAACTGCTTACGAAAGGAGGTGTTCGGTATAAACAAACGTGGATGGATAATAATCTGAATATTGGAGATTTATGGCCATAAGACATAGTGCATACTGGGTCAACTTTCTTCTTAAAATTACTGTAAAAAGTCACGTGTGCAATTTGTCGTTCCTCTCATTTAACGAAGTCGTCTAATCTTGTTTTGTCCCAAATTTATGTTGTTAAAAGTGAAAAATCAATCGTTTCCAGTTTTGTCCTTCTTATCTCATTTCTTTATACGATTAAATGATTACGTCGACCTTTAGCTTTTATCTCACTTTTCTCCTTACAGAGTGGCCGTAGAAACATATGGTTACTCAGTTATCTTTCCAAATGCTATAATATGATCATAGTTGGAATATTGGAACTAAGGTCATGCGGTTGTCTTACCCGATGACGATGCCATTGGCTAAATAATGATGCTGTAATATTGGCTCTCAAGACATGAGTCGCGTGACTGAACAGCCGTGCGGGGTCCGGACTCTACGGCGGGTTAGGGTCAGGGTCAGGGTCAGGGTCAGGGTCAGGGTCAGGGTCAGGGTCAGGGTCAGGGTCAGGGTCAGGGTCAGGGTCAGGGTCAGGGTCAGGGTCAGGGTCAGGGTCAGGGTCAGGGTCAGGGTCAGGGTCAGGGTCAGGGTCAGGGTCAGGGTCAGAGTCAGGGTCAGGGTCAGGGTCAGGGTCAGGGTTAGGGTTAGAGTCTTACGCCGTAGAGTCTTACACCGTAGAGTCCCGGACCCCAGCCGTGCATCAAGAACATCCGTTCTGAGCCAATAAACACGCGAAAAAGCTTTACGTGAGAGCTAAACACCTTTAAATATTATCTTGAAATGTCTTGTTTGATTTATTTTTCCCTGAGTTTTGAGAATTGAACCAATTTTCACTAAACATGAGTGGTTTTAAGAGTCGTGTGTATTGATTATTGGATCTGGGGCATGAGTGTATCGGTAGGTTACGATATCATAATAATATCTACCAAATAATTCTGTTAATCTTCAATCGTAGTTCCTTACTGTAAGGGATTGGTTGACATTTATTTTTTAGTGATAAAGATTTTGATGTTTTAAATTGTCTTATTTACTTCGACAGGTGATGTGATAACCGTTAACCCTGAAATGTTGAAACTTAGCCATATCCTCTATTATTATAGTCTTACTCTCACGGTAGAGAAGTTAAGCTGAGAAAAAGCGTTAAATTGGTTACATATTTGTTTGCCCTCTCTCCGTCTCCATGACCTAGATGTTTCGGCAGTATCCAAGTAGCCCGACAGGTGTTCCTGAACAGGTGTTCCCGAACAGGTGTATCCTAACAGGTGTTCCGAACAGGGTAAGGGTTAAGGTTAGGGTTCGGGAACACCTGTCGGGCTACTTGGATACTGCCGATGTTTCTAGCGGGACTGACCTGGTAAACCTTCATTGCAGAAGTCCCAACTGGAAAGCATGATACGAACGGTTATCAGGCTGCACTGCGAGATTGAGTCATTCTCCAACGAATACAGAGTCATCTTTAAACCTTGTAATTTTGATGTACAGCTCATTGTTTACGAGACAGTCATATCGCTGGTAAGGGAATTTCCACTGAGGAGTTAACTCGGTTATAATTGAGGAATTTTCACTTTTTCTGAAACTCCCATTAGTAAATTGCATGATAAGTGGTGCTATTTGACAATTTACATTATCAAGTATTTAACGAAAATAAAATTAAGTGAGTCATCTCCGCTCAGCTTATAATAGTCATCTCCGCTCAGCTTATAGAAGATGTGAAGAAAGTAATGATGGCTGTGAACAAATCGTGGAGCAAGGTTCTCCCCGACGCCAGCAGCGTTCTCATCTCTACCTTCGTTCTCTACAACTCCATCAACCAGCTGGTTCAAGCTAGTGATCCCACTAACGACAAGTGAGTTTATTGTATGTGTAATACCTTACTAAAGAGGGATGAGATTCAAGATACAGTAAAACCCCGATTCACCGCGCCCCCATTTATTGCAAACCCCGATTTACCGCGAATGTTTCCTTTCCCTCAAACCCCGCGGTAAATCGGGTTTTACTGTACTAGATGGGTGAGCAAAATTTATATCGCTAGCTGTGCACTGCGGTATTTTACAGGCGAAATTCTCAACAGTCAATGAATTAATTACTAGCCAAGGTTAATCCAGTCAATTACGATATGGTTTACTAAAATTACTCCATTACTCAACTTGGTCTTGGGAATAAAACTGCCCTTCCTCAGTTAACTTAACCTCCGGTTTTGACCGTTTGGCCCTATCTCCGATAAATTATCTTTATTTTACTCTCCTCGTTATTTTACAGTCTTCAACAGGACAATAATATTTCACCAAGTGGAGTTTCCGACAGAATCTTCAATACCATGCTAATGTTTAAAAGATGACATTCCAATTTTACATCAAATCATTTGAAAAAATCTTTCAGAGCGGCGAGACTTCAGCACATCTTCCAGAACTACTTTGCAGAGCTGATGAGAAAGTGGACCCATATCGTCCAGAACAAGCTGAACTCTCATGCTGAAAAGCTTGTCATTATGGAGAAGATACAATCTGACTCAACGATAGACGATTCTAGTCTCAGTGCTAGGGAGATAATGCGGGCAGTTAAGAATGTGAATATTGTCGATTTGTTGAAAGATTGTGACTTTACTTTGTAAATCTTGTTGATCTTGTACCCGAAGTAAAATTAATTTTCAAATAATTTATCATTGCTGATAGCTTAACAAATCCTCAAATGTATCACTCATCAAAACCTTAGATTTCCAAGTGCTGGCTGGATATCAACGCTCCTATATGCAGTCAGAACGGGCCCATATTCCAGAGTCTAGTGTCGATGCTGTGTACCCATATTCACAGTTTTACTTCTCAACTGGTCAGCCTGGTGGTGGAGATGAGATACCACGCTACTTACGACACTCAGTTTGATATCCAGGATGAGGTTTGATTTTTGTTTATTGATTCTTCAATGATTCCTTAATACCGATTTTTGATTGCTTTATGGATTTCGGAGTTTCATTTTTCGGTAACGCCACTTTTGTCCAACGGCACTATTTCCTTGTGTTTGAAGTGATATCTCAAATTTGGTACGTATAAATTCGCCCAAATTTTCACAGATTATCTGTCTTATAACTCCCTTCTCAACTTATATGGTATTGTCCCGCAGATGCTGATTGCGTTTAACAACATGCACCTGTTAAAACAGCTGAACATGGGACTAAAAGAAGAGCTCAAGATGAAACTGTGGACTTGCAGCTACGAGGTATTATAGTATAATGATATAATATTATAATAGTACTGTATAATTTATACAGTACTGAGATGATTTGTGATCTTCTAAAATTAAAAACTTTTAGTGCCTAGCTTTTAGTTTCTCGCGAGCCCGCTTTCGTGCTGTCTAGACAGGTGTTTTTGTCAAAGTGCTTTTGATTGTTTAAATTTGATGACTGTTTAGTGTTTACTATGATTGACTATCGCAGTCGCGTTTGACATTCATAGCGGCCTTTGTTAATAGCGGCCGAATATTATGTAATGCATTCATTGAGTTGGATTTAAATTAGGACAATAGGAAAAGCTATTAGTATTATAGTAATTACTGTGATAGTTACAGAACTAGTTACAGAACTATTATTTTTTATGATCTGCAACCACTTTGATCTTAACATCGGGCCTCACCACCACCAGAAGCTCCAGGAGATTATACAAGCAAACGATAACGCTCTCAAAGAGGAGGAAATAGCAATCGCCGCCGGACTGGCAGACAAAGTTAGTTTTGTAGTCAGTTTCACATATTATTCATATATTCACATATTATTCACATATGATTCACGTGTACGTCGGGTTTTGTCTCTTGAGGCGAAATTAGCCCAGAAACGTTGATCGGAGTAGTGATCGTTGCGCCATGATTGTCAGGTCTAACTCTTGAGGTGTGAGTTAGGTCTTGGACCGGAAATTCCATCAATAATGTCATTATCATCCGAATGAGCATAAGATCACTCTATTTATTAATTGCCAAAATTTTGTTGCAAAATTTCAAAGCCATGAATTTTTCCTGGATTGCGTTTGAATGGGTGGGGATGATCCTTACAAATATCATTGTGCTGGTATGAGTTCTATGTGATTGATCAAATTTTTTGTCTAAAATCTTGTCACCTATTTCGTTTAAAGAATATGTTTTACCCAAGCCTGGTTACTGAACCGGTTTTATTTCCCATTTATACTGAAGTATAATTTCAGATGGAGCCCTCCATAGAAAAATACGTATTCGAGTTGAGGAAAGCGAATCCTGATGTCTCTGCGAGCCAAGTCAGTTCCCTAATTTAAGTTTCCTGGCACCGTCTTTCATATTCAATATAATATGTTTTACCTTTACGAATGATACCCGTAAATATTTGTTTCAAACAGCAAGGTGCAGCTCAGCGCGCAGGTCTGTTTTAAACCTACAAGTTTTACATAGCAATTATATAAATAACTTTAGAACTATACGATTCGTGCAATTTATCGCGGGCACGAGTTTAAATAGTTTCGCAATTTTTGTCGAAAAATGACTTGTCCACCTGATCTCATCAGTTGTAGACCAAGCAAACTGTACTGGTACAGCATACGGCTCAAATGCGAATATTTTCAGGATTATAATATCATATGAATATTTACATCAATGAAGTATTCAGTGGTTGGAATTGGAGAATGTTTTAATGGCGCCAAATTAATTTAGAGCTCACTATTTCACAACAATTTCAAGCTTGTTGAAACTGGAATTAAGAAATCTTTGAAATTGACAGAAATTAAATTACTGAATGAGCTAATTTATGTTCTGGAATGTGAATCTAATATTAGAATATTCCCCACGTACAAGTGGAAGTGGTACCGTCCATGACAAAGAAAACCGCGCGTTACAACCATGTGATACTTAAAGATCTCATCGCTTGAGACAGGCTCGCCCTAGTACGCAGTAATTTCCCCATCTACAATCTATATTTGATCTCGTGACTCCATGTATACGTGCGCTCACATCATCGTCCATTTATTGGAAATAAAAACCAATGTTAGTGATGGAGATTGCCGCACGCTAACGAGCTAATTTACCGGTGGTGACTATTCGCTTGATTACTGTTAGAGACTTAATTTGCTTTCCGTTTGTTATCCTGTAACAGTTCGCTTGCTTCTTCGGGATCATTTTGCGTCTAAAAATATGTTATTAGAAGGCAGTTTATTGGTTGCTGATGCAATGTGAAGCTGCTGATTATCAATAAGAACTAGGAAGCTTCATGGTTATTGTTTTCTGGTACCGTTATATTTCATGAATATTCATCTATTAATCGATTACGATCATTTATAACGAATATTTTGAATTATACTAGTTTGTCAGCTAGAGTTGTCGAACCGTTTTTATTTTGGCTTTGCCCCTCCGTACCCAAAAATTATTTTCTTCCGGTCTTAGTTTCAAGACTTCCGTCATCCCTCTTTCAAATAATGATAGAACTCTATAGAAATTTGACTGATGTCTTCTCCTCGTGCCTTTACCTCTTCGGTTATTACCGATAGCTTGCCCCTTTGTTTTGAATCTGCTGATGGCATAGCAAGCTTATTTTTAAGCTGTTCCAAATTTCAGATAGTAAGTTCCTTATTCCCAGATACATTTAGTTCATAGAACTTTTCCGATTTTCTGGAAATCGCTGGAAAAATCGGATTCAATGTTATCAAGCTAGATGTGTCTTGAAATTTAATGTTTCGAGACTTCAGACTAGGGATGAATTAATTACGAAACTTTAAGGCAGCCAAAGAAAAGCTAGAAGAGCTTTAGAAAAATAAATAGAATGAACACTTAACGAGCGTCTTGTTTTTACTTACCATACCTACTTACCTTGAATCAATTGCCCAATGCAGCCTTAATGCAAATTTTGGGAGCCAATTGCCTAAGGATCTTGGAAAACCTGTGACGCCGTCACAGGTTTTCCAAGATCCTTAGGCCACTGGCTCCCAAAATTTTCAGTGTGACGGACTAAAATTAGGAAGCATAATATGTGACCGAAGTTTCGCGGATAATCACCTCGTCATCCGTACGATCTCAGATCTTCAATGTGGATTTCCTCAGAATGAGTGTAGTTGGACTGTAGCTGTTCGACTAAATTTTGTAAAAAGTTCGTAGAGTTCGGCACCTTTTAGATGTTTGTTGGCTGCGTTTTTCCCAGCTATGGATTAAGCTGCCTATAATGAACTCCCACTTGCTTTGGCCCTTATATAATAAAAAATGTTCAGAGTTTAGGATTAACGGATGTCATATATATAATGGGCATAAGTTATGGGTATATGTTTGTTTGGTTTCGAAGACAACAGGTTTTAGTTCCTTAGTCGACTGCAATTTCAAAATCAAGTTTCCATAAAATTTCAGGCTGACCATCCTTTCAATAAGTCATTATTCACTCCTAGTCTTATACTTATAGTCTTATGAAAGTATGAAGTCGGTGTTTAAAAATAGTGAGTTACGCTGTTCCCATTGTCTAAAAATGAGTTTTCCTTTCACATTATCCGTATCTTTTCCGTTTACCTTTGTCATGGTCTGCTGACTAACTTTAGAAATAGCCGATTTCTACAAGCACTCTCATTTTCTTTTTATCCCTGATTGAAACACTACAGAAGCTCCATCTCCATTATCTGATTGCACGGCGTTATTAAAGCCCATACAATTCATTTCAATCTCAAACTGCCTAGCTACAAGCACAATTCACTTCGATCTCAAAGCGCAACAATTTGAGGATTAGCTCGGCTCTGTTACTTAGTTACTACCGGGGTATTGTATCAGGGGACACCCAGACAGCAGTGCCACGGGGGATGACACCATTATGTGCGGGAGGTATGAGCTGTGACGTGTAGGGGTATGACAATGAGCACCTGCAATGCTACGTCTGGTTCCCGCTATAATAATCATTCCCCGGTAATATGACTAGGACCGGGGAGGTTGCAGGAGGGGAGAGAGAGGCAGAGAGAGAGGCAGGAGGGGTCAGGAGGGGTCACCTGGAGGGGTACTGATTTCTAATCTAGCCCAGTCCGGGCACCTGGGTACTGGGGCACATTATGTTTTTATTGTTACCGTTAAATTGTGTAACTGTTTGTTGTTGTCGATGTGACGTAGGTAATCATAGCATGGTATTATGATAGGATTTCCCTGTTCCCAATCTTCGGGTTTCTTTGATCTACGCCATTTTGTTGCTTGCCTGATTGCCAAATTCTGAGGAATTGCTGTTCTCAAATCATACACCCGTTGTCATGTGCCCGTTGTCATGTGCTGGTTTGGGCATGTTTCCCCAATATTAATATTATATTTGGTGTGAAATCTTTTTTATGATCAAGCCATCAGCAGTTATCATATGTACATGAGCTATAAATCATATACTACATTTGTATAGTTCGTTCTAATCTAACTATTCAATTAGTCGATCCTGTAAATTTGTCCAATTAAAACTTTTCAACTCTGTCTTTAATTTTCCACGCATCATTATTTTGTCAATGGCTTGCATCACAATGATTTACAGGAGTCAATGTGCATTATTTGACGTCATTGTTTATTTGCTCGTTGCTCTACCTCACGATCAAGTTTTCTCTAGAAGTTTAAATCCAGTCGTTTAGTTAAACTTTCACTCCGCATTTATTCGGTGATAATAAAGCTAGATAGCTCGGGATAGCTCCTCAACTTCCTGTCTGCCTGATTACTGATAAGATGCCTACTTATGCCTAGCGCGTGCTATCTTGAACGGGCAAATTGACCAATTATCTTTGCGTCCCAATTACAACCTTGATAGGCCACCACCCAACTTGTTACTTTCATATTTAAAGATCAATTCACGGATGTTTCTATGAGATCATGAGAATGACAGTTATCGCTGAGTTTTATTTGGAACTGGGTGAAATAACAGATTGTAAAGATTGACTTCAGTATTTGTTTATAGTTCGCCGTATTTACAATCCCGGTATTACAGCAGGAAACACGGCCAAATTGCCTATTCATATTTACTTTGTAACAAGTTCCATGGCTCGCTCACGACTTGCATAAATACACAAGACACTTGTTTTCACAAGACACGATTACTCATTTGACTCGCATTAATCCCTAGTTTTATATATCTCTCGCCGTTCTTGTCTGTCGATCTGTGTCATAATATCTGATTGGAACACTGCCCAAAGTTACGTAATCATATTATGCAGTTATGTAATTGAGAATTTGTTAACCAGCATGAGATTTTGAGATTCAAGCAAAAAATCAACGCCTGAAAAAGCAGTTTTTAACCATTTCTAACGAATTGGCTTTTCAGATATGGGAATCCTTTAAGGTATAATATTTGCGTGTGAATCGTGAATTAAACTAGCACCTGATTATTTTAAAGAATGGTCCTCGATTGATTTGAAGTCATGCTCGAGAAGAGTTCCGATCGAAGTTTGATAATATTTTCGTTTTTATAGTCTGAGATAAAAAGAAGTTTGTCATGTTCTGACACTATGTATAAGATGTTCATCATATAAGGTTCTCAATTGCTATTGCCACATGGTTGCATTGGACATTTTTCTTGAAAAAGCTACTTTACTAGTCATAATTTACACAATCACCAAGTGAAACACATCGCTGACTCTACAGCAACTGGGGATATTTTTTGTGTGTTGTAATTTTTATTCAAGATAAAGAAGAAAAATTCAGATAATTGTCCTATAGATGCCAACTAACAGTTTTAAACTATTTTCACAACTACGATTAAATACATTCATTGAGGACGTTACAGAAGGAATTAATTTAATGTAGTTGGAGGACTGGAGGAGTCCTAACTCTCCTCACGTCCGAAAATTGTGGTTCTCTTGTATCAAATAAAGAACCAGAAGACAATGTGCATTTTCTTTGCAATTACCCATTTCTCTTCACGCTACGAAGCACTAGCTTTGGATTTCCAGTTGTTACTATTAATGACTGGGGATATTAATAGCTTATTTCCTTGAATATTATATTGATTGCTCGGTCATTGATTGTCGTTTGAGATTTCCTTCTTTTAATTTCTTCATTATTCATTCTACATGACAGTATAATAACACTACATAGATCGAAATAAGAGCTCTTTCAACTTTAATTATATCCTGTTTCAAAGAGGTCGAATCATGCGACTAATTAATAACTTAGTAAGAAACAAAAGAGTTCCTTCAACCTGCGCTATTTAATTAATCAATTTAGTCGTTAGTTAAAAGTTAGGCACATGGCACCACAGAGAGTTTCTCTCTCCTACGAGGAATACTACTGGAAGACTGAACCGGTACAATTCTTCCTCTTTCAGCTCAGGTACACTGGGTACTGGGTACTGGGTACTGGGTACTGGGTACTGGGTACTGGGTACTGGGTAACTGAATGACGCTTGGGAATACCAAGCCTATTTGCTCCTATTTTGTTTTGAGCTAAACTGTGCCGTGATCTTTTGTTGCAGTGATATTTTGTTGCAGTGATATTTTGTTGCTTTGAGCTAAACTGTGCCGTGATATTTCATGATGGGGATGGTGAGATAGATTTGTGGAGTTGATTTGGGAATACCTCTCCGAAAGCATTTTCTTTCCGCGCTGGCTATTTGCTCATGTTTTGTTTCTACGCCGATCTTCATTTCAGGGCTGAGATCTCGCTAGTAGAGTACCACAGTAAATCGTGGCGTGATTAAATAGTGCCGTGATATTTTGATGCCGTGATTAAACAGTGCCGTGATATTTTGATACAGTGACTAAATAGTGCCGCGATATTTTGATACAGTGACTAAACAGTGCCGTGCTATTTTGATACAGTGACTAAATAGTGCCGCGATATTTTGATACAGTGATTAAACAGAGCCGTGATATTTTGATACAGTGATTAAACAGTGCCGTGATATTTTGATGCCGTGACTAAATAGTGCCGTGATATTTTGATGCCGTGACTAAACAGTGCCGTGATATTTTGATGCCGTGATTAAACAGTGCCGTGATATTTTGATACAGTGATTAAACAGTGCCGTGATATTTTGATACAGTGACTAAAATAGTGTCGTGATATTTTGATACAGTGACTAAATAGTGCCGTGATATTTTGATACAGTGACTAAATAGTGCCGTGATATTTTGATGCCGTGATTAAACAGTGCCGTGATATTTTGATACAGTGATTAAACAGTGCCGTGATATTTTGATGCCGTGACTAAACAGTGCCGTGATATTTTGTTGCAGTGACTAAACAGTGCCGTGATATTTTGTTGCAGTGACTAAACAGTGCCTTGATATTTTGTTGCAGTGACTAAACCGTGCCGTGATATTTTGTTGCAGTGATTAAACATTGCCTTGATATTTTGTTGCAGTGACTAAACAGTGCTGTGATATTTCATGATGGCCTAAGATAGATTTGTGGAGTGACCTAGCTGTGCCGTGATATTTTGATGGTGAGATATATTTGATATACGAGGCATTGTCACGCCGCCCACTGCCACGTTATTATCAATGTTACGGCCCTGTCGTCATAATATGAGACCCATCTCATACGCTATTACTAAGCACGTGCCACTTATAATAGCACAAGAAAGGAGAGAACCTTGACTCGTATAAGCCATCATATTTTGTCGTATTATACGGCTTAAATATGCCTTATTTTTACGGCGAAGGCTAGTGACATAAAAGCCAACGAATATTTTCAACGCTTTTGTTCATTTAGTTATTCTAAATATAATGGTGTCAGTTTAGCAAATTATTGTGAACTGACAATCGACATATAAGACGACTAGACCAGGCGCTTTTAAGATGATAAATGTGCATTGTGTAATCCTGACTCCTGATTCCTGTAACGTTTTGATATGGTACAACAAACAGCTCTGAGTTGGTTGCGGTTGCGGAAGTTTCTCATTTTGGTCTCTTTGAAGTCTAGTTAATAAGTACCGGTCACTCTAAATTGCCGTTTTTGGTGAGATTTAGCAGCCAGTGGCAGAGTTTTTCCATCCTGTTCCCAGGTTACCACGTCCGTGTCCACTAGCTGGTTACTAGCTGGTTACTTCTTTACAGAGCACTATATAGTTTTACTTCAACCTGTCAGGAAAATTAAATCGAACCTATTCCTGAACAGCTGGATTATTAGTCAATCGTCGGGTCATTGGCTAGGCTGAACAGCCTGTATCCAGAAACATGTGGTACTGGTAACAGGAAGTCGTGATGCAGCCCAATTTGCCACAGACCAGCTTAATTTCTGTCTATCAACCGCAAATGAGGCTGTATTTCGATACAAATACATTACTTTTTATTTTAATGGTTCCTAAATCGTCTCCATGCTACGGTTAAGCCTCTCCACTCTCTGTCGCTGTGATTTTTCCGACTTTTATCAATCATATTAAAAATGTCAATTATATGCGGAATCACTGTAGTTAGTGATTATAAGTGATCAATTGCTTCACAATTGTACGCTTCAAGGATATTGTCCAGGCAAGTGGTTTATTTCTGTTGCTTGGAGATTAGACAATTTGTAACCACTATCTGACACACTTTCTACCATTTTACCGATATAAGTATAATCTAAATTTAGAAGGTCGGTCGGAAGTTAGGTCTCCTTCATACTACAGGCAGGTGACGTTGCTAATTGGTTCCACGAGCACGCAGATTCTACACTCATTTCTAGTCTGAACCCTTTCTAGACCTGCTAATAATTTACTGACAGTTATATCATCTTTCTTCGTCTGGGATCTCAATTACGGTTCTAATTTTAAGCATCGCTTGCATTTTGATTTTGAATAACCGGCTGATTTGCCACATTTCGTCTAATTTTTGCTAAAGATTTATTGAATATTGACGTCAATATTTATGCATTTTATTGAAGCTCCTCATGCTTTTGCTGCAAACAATTGGAAATCTTTATACCATCTCCCGTCTCTGCTGATTTCCGTACTTTTTCTTTCAGACATGGGACGTGCTCAACTGTGATATGGCAAATGTTTGACGATATTTTTGATGCCGTAAAGGGTAAATTCGACGAGATATCGACATCAGTCGACGATCGAATAAAGGAAGCCCGAGACAACAGGTCCCGAAATGGAACAGATTCAGATCAGAAATCAGGATTGTTTGGTAGCTTTATCGAGCTTGTCGACGAAGCAAATGACACAATCAGTAAACTGCTGACTGAAGACAAAGTAGCTGGTCCGCTCCAGATCGGTGCACCGCCGACAGGTTCTCTTAAACCCAGATCATCCATTACTAGAGACTCTAACGGGGCTGGAAGCAGTCGGTCTAACCTGGAGTCAGACGATGATATGTACGGTTACAATCTTACTGATGACGAGAGCGAGGATGAGGAAGGGGATGATAGCGTTGGAGATATGCCTAAAATCAGGTCTCATCTCAAAGGATCAGATCCAAATTCTCCATCCGTCGATAAGAAATTAAATCTATCAGATCTAGGCGGGGAACCGCTGCCAAGATATGGACTGCCCTCGGTCTATCTGAAACCAAGTGAAGTCTGTCAACGTCGGGTTACGACCACCAGACGGATAACAGAAGCCGACCTGGACGAGAATTCTCCGTTGTATCGACACAGAGACCAAATTCTGGGTGCGGAGACTCAGAAAAAAGTAGCAACGGCGGATTCTAAATCTGGCGTAAGTTAACACTTTGTATTAGTTTTTATTGTTAAAAATTATCGATATCTATATGGCTATAAGTTACTCAGAACGTGCTGATGATAAGAATGAACATCCAATTGCATTATACCGGAATTTCAGAAGCACAGCCATTCAAAGAAAAATGGCCTGCACGTGAAATCGACAATTCCTACCGTGAACGTAAAACCGGTAATTCCTACTGTCCAATTAGAAGGAGACACTTTCCACAACGATGGTCCTCCTCGTTGGTCCTCCTCCCGAACTAAGTACAATTTAGCTCGGGAAGTCATCATGTCACCACGGGCCGTTCGTAAATCCCCCAAATCCAGTAACAGTCACAATGTAGGCAACAATCTTGTGCATGGTGTTGGTTCTCTTCATCCTCTGATAGTGTGATAGTTTTACTGATTTCATCTTGGCGTTTTAATCTTGTGAATTTGCATGTGGTCTTAGAAACTTGACATAGATCTGTATCTTTATCTATATTGCAACTGGATGCTTTTTCTATCACATCCTAACTGCAATTGAAAACTCCACATTCCATCAACTAACTTGCTCACCCCAACCTAATGGTACACACTATGAGTGTCAGCGAGAATAGTGTTGGCATGCCTGTATCACCCACCATGCCGTGCGTTAACCTGGCATTAATGAATTGCATGGTTGACAGAGTGCTTTTGTAAGTTCCTGCTAATAAAACCCCCAATCTGCAGGACAAAAGCAAGCGTCTGTTTAGATAGAACTATCACTAAACCACAATTTTCGTAAAATCGGTAAGGGTAAAAAAACTGCTAACTTACCTTTTACAGCACCTCTGTTTTAAAGCACCTCTTTGCTGAAAAGAAGCACTCTTAAACTATGTGAAAAGGCCTTTAAAACAGGGTGGCTCTTAATTAACTCCTTAATTAACTTCTCAGATCATCAAAAATATTTACACAGCATAAATACAACATCTATTTGCTCCTTTCACTAAATTTTGGGCCACCCTGTATTGCAGAATTGTGTTCTCGTCTGAACACCACCATAGCACTTGGCACTTGGCCAGTATGTGACATTTAAGTCTAGTAGATCATATTTTAGCAGATCATATTTTTAGCAGATCATATTTTTAGCAGTAGATTATATTTTTAGCAGAGCAAAGTTAACAAAATAACTTCACCAGATGGTATACTTACTTATCAATATATCCCCAGGTGGTGTTGAACTGTTTCTCCAGGTGGCTCACCTGTCTCGTGGACCACATCGAGGACCACTTCGTCGAAGCTCGTCGCCTCTACAATGACCGGCGGAAGAGGTAGCAGTGGCGAACATTAGGTCAATATATTTCTGGGGTTCTTCTAGAGTTGAGCTGAGTTTTAAAGCTACCTGCTGTCACGTGATCTGATTCAAAACGCGGAATGGTTAAACAACAGAAACCTTCAGCTCAACTTGATGATGATCATAAAGTTTGATGTTATCAGCTGGATAAATTACCAAGTAGATAAATGATAGGTGAAATAAACGTCGTTTGTGTACTGTTTAGGTTCATGACTCATTGATCAACAAATATTGAACCTCGGATATAAATATAATTTGTGTTGAACCAGATCGAGTGCAGCTCGAATTTGCATGAAACTAATATTAATTGATGTATTAATTATTTGAGGGATCTTTTTGAAAGTAATGTAAATAAATAATTCAGGTTTGACTTTGAATGGTTTTGGTCATTTAAACTTTTTTCTGATGTTTAATATCAAGTTGTTAATATCAGATGATTCCGTGTTATATTTAATTCGAAATTAGACTTTCGTGTAAACGGAATTTAATAGGTCTTTTGAGAAGATATTCTGACCAATATTTTCTTAAAGAAAATACAAAGTAAGATATCGTAAATGCGTATTAATTCTTAATTTTGATTATTATTTTTTGAAAGTAAGACAACTACAAGTATAAACGTTTTCCTAGTAATATGTATTCATGGGTACCAATTTTTAAGTAATTTAGAATTAGTTGCTAAAGAGATTCGTGAGATTTTCCTAATCATAAAAGCTTATGGATAATTGATTTCATCAACGTAGGTTAGGTGAAAAATGATATGACTGTTCTTTTGATACTCATCAACAATTTAACAATGACTTTCACTACGTTTAAACTTTTCAAAGGCGGAATTTAGCTAAATTACGATTTAACTTCGCCTGCTCAGAATATCTAGTCATCTTAAATGACTGTTAAATTCGGAATCAAATTTCCAAGCAAATAAATGGCTGATCGTCGGTCCTCTACGTTCGTCCACAAATATTCGGAAAAGTTACGAATGATTTCCGAAAGAAAATAGGAAGAAAGATATCATACATGAATATTGTATAGATTACTGCACAATTATTGAATCTGCTCTCTTTAGAAGTAAGGTAATGTTTTCCTAGGTTCATTTATTTTGTACCAATTTCTCTTTGGGTAATTTAAAATTACTTATTACATATTATTACAGAGATTCATGAAATTTGTACTAAATTCATTATGCTAATCAAGAAATCTTACGAATAATCGATTACTTCACTAAGAAATTACATCTCTTTTTTCGATACTCATCACTCATCAACAATTTAATAATCTCTTTCGTTTGAACTTTTCAAAAGCGGTAATTACACACTGACCTAAACCTGATTTATCTTGGTCCACGTCGTACGACCCAGATTAGTAAATCTCACTATCTGCTTGGTGACCACGTGATCAGGTTGTTTACGTTTGTTGGATGAGTGCAGTGTGGCATGTCAAAGCGGTATAATAAGTTATGTCTCGCTCCTAGAACAGCATTTAACTAACCAGTACCGTTTATCCTGCATATTGCCATGGAAACAAAGTGTCTACAGAATATGCAGGTTAACAGGTTAGCACATTAGTTCAGGAACAGCTATTGTTCGTGATTTGACCGTTGACGGGAGCTTGCAAATCCATTTTCAGAAGATAAACAGATATTCAAATTTAAAATTACTGCAATTATTGCAATGTCAAAACCCGATTCGGACGCGGCAACGGGTAGCCAATCCTGGTACGCAGAAGGGTGGTAATTGTGGCATGGGAGGAATCACGTGATCTGATTCCCTATCATTAAGTAGTGATTATATGCACTCATCATTACTACATGGATTTAAACACTTCTTCGTATTTCCTCCTATCGCGCACTTTGACATAAAGTTACTCCTGTAAATACATTCAGTTTACCTTGCCCCGGAAAGTGGCCTGGCAATGGAAGTGAGAGAGCCGGATCTCACCAGTGATTCGGACGAGTCCGACTCCTCTGTTGAAGCAGACAATCTACCGTCTCTCGTCACATTGGACAACCTCCCAGTTACAGTGCGCCTGTCACCAGACCGCGAGGGAAGGAAGTCATCTCTCCGAGGGGTGGGCTGGCTATTAAACGTTGCCACTTCATTGGTGGGAGGGGGTGTTGAGGAGCACCCAGAAGAGGGCGGGACGGACAGTGTTGAGAACAGTTCCCACTCCCTAACTATCAGACCTGGCGAGAGTGCTGACGATCTCCGCAGTTCCAGTTCTACCAACTTGTTGGAGGTGGACCATGAGTTCCATGATGAGTTCCATGATGCTGTCACCGCTCCTGACCAGTTCTCTGACAGTGCCGCCTCGCACGACAGTCAGTACATGTTTGATAATCAGCAGCATACCGAGGTTGTTAAAGCGGAACGAAGAAGCAGTTCTAGTATTGATCCTGATCACGGTGATGCAGACAAGATAGGCTCTACGGACTCTGTTTTTCTTCCGGATGCTGAGAAAGACCATACTCGAAAACATCATTCAAAACGCAGGGTAGGGAAATCACATACTGAAACACTTCTTTTCAAGGAAGGTGTTAGGACAGAAGATGATACTTACAGACACAGCTTACGAAACAAGAGACATGATCGCTCATTGAGAAGAGACCATTCTAACAAACTTAACGAAGATGCAGAAAAGATAAGGAGAAAAGTTCGTCGACATGATTCTGACAAAAAATCAAGCACCAAGGAATCTGAAGGAAAAACAAAGAAACATCGGGAAAAGACCAGTACAAGGGACCGTAGCATGACAGTTCGAAAGAAGAGAGTGGACTCTGAAAGAGGGAGTGATAACTCACTTTGTAAAGACGATTCGGTACGGAAAGGCCACCACCCTTCACTCAAAACTCCAGATCGACCTTCTTCTGTCGGAAAACTGGCTAAGGATAATACACTGTCTAAACACCAGAGACAATACTTGACCACCGAAGAGCTGGCTAGATCTTCGAGCAGTCTTCTGTCTGTTGTCAAACAGGAAGGTGTTTATGATGGAAAGGAAAAGCTCACCCCGCGTCGACCAAGCGAAAGAAAAACCAGGAAAAGAATAGAAAAAGGTAGCTCTTCCGATCGTCCTTCCGATCATCCTTACAATAATTATGACTCTACTTCGGAGAAGCACTTACGACGAGAGAGGAAACAGCTGAAACACCCAAAGCTAACAAAATTCAGTGACATGGGGAGGTCAAAACACGGTTCCAATCATGGTTCCAAGTCGAGAACTAGGCCTTCTTCTAGTGCCCTTGTTTTGCGATCAGAGTCTCGGAGAGATTCCATAGGCGTGAGTACTCTTTCTAAGTTAAGGGATAATTGGGGTGTGTTTAAAACCATGTTAGATTGTTAAATATTGCCAGCCTTTTTCATCCCTTCCATTTCCATCAACTTCATGGATCTTTGATCCATAAGCTGCTGTGTTAATCATTACTTCCCGCCTGGTTTTACATTAGTCGTGACACATCAGCCGATGGAAGGAGAAAACCCAGTGATTATATTTCAAATTGTACTCAAATGCCGAACACGTTTTAATTGTAGCCTGTAATTAAAACTAGTAACTGTTAACCTTAAACATGACAATAATATGGCTGGTCGTACTTGCCACCCGAATAATCAGACTTTCCTGGTAGCCGCGTATTATTGAGAGAGAGAGAGAGAGAGAGAGAGAGAGAGAGAGAGAGAGAGAGAGAGAGAGAGAGAGAGAGAGAGAGAGAGAGAGAGAGAGAGAGAGAGAGAGAGAGAGAGAGAGAGAGAGAGAGAGAGAGAGAGAGAGAGAGAGAGAGAGAGAGAGAGAGAGAGAGAGAGAGAGAGAGAGAGAGAGAGAGAGAGAGAGAGAGAGAGAGAGAGAGAGAGAGAGAGAGAGAGAGAGAGAGAGAGAGAGAGAGAGAGAGAGAGAGAGAGAGAGAGAGAGAGAGAGAGAGAGAGAGAGAGAGAGAGAGAGAGAGAGAGAGAGAGAGAGAGAGAGAGAGAGAGAGAGAGAGAGAGAGAGAGAGAGAGAGAGAGAGAGAGAGAGAGAGAGAGAGAGAGAGAGAGAGAGAGAGAGAGAGAGAGAGAGAGAGAGAGAGAGAGAGAGAGAGAGAGAGAGAGAGAGAGAGAGAGAGAGAGAGAGAGAGAGAGAGAGAGAGAGAGAGAGAGAGAGAGAGAGAGAGAGAGAGAGAGAGAGAGAGAGAGAGAGAGAGAGAGAGAGAGAGATATCATCGTCTCTTATTAAGACATTCACCTGTACTGTTAGAGTAATCATAATCTGTTAGAGTAATCATAATCTCATCCAAATGTCATTTAATTTAGAATAACTGTACCTGCTATACTGCTGTATTGCTTTGCCATTAGCAATTTGGGAGACTAAATCAATTCAGTCGGCCGGTTCGGCGTTGCCAACTAATCGAGATTTTTCGTCTAGTTTATAACAATTTTCCTACAGCATACGGCGACGTTTTCCAACGATTATTTTTTAATTGGCAGATGCTTCATTTTAGTTGGACAGCAAATGCCTTTTTCCTAAAGAGAACTAATTATAAAATGAATGAATTTGAAATTAGCCATAATCAGGATTTCAATTATCTGAATGTGGCACTGTCCAGCAACTGATCACAGCTTACCCTGGACCATAGTGACCATAGTAACCAAAGTGACCTGCAGGATTTCAATTTTTCAAAATCGACGCCCTCAAACCGACCGGTGCGATGGAGTTGATGGTGTCTCAGTCTGCAGTACTGGTACATAGTCATAAATTGATGTCATGAATGTAAGTATCCACAGACGCACAGTTAATATTCTTATACGGAGCACTGGATGTGGCACTCTAATGAGAGCTCCTAATTAATTAATTAATTAATGAGCTCCTAGGATGTTGTAAATATTAAATTCCAAATTGTAGGGCGCTGGCCCGCGCTGGCGTGAAATTTACCGTCGCAGCTAAATTTACCAGCCGCGTTGGCGTTCAGCCTGTCGTTCCTAGTAAGGGGAAAATTGGTCGATTTAAGGGTTCCGTTGGATTTGAATGTTCACAAGGATTTCTCAACGGAATATGGTAGTTAGGACCCCTACGAACATAATTAGACTTGTTGCCAATTTTGTATCTCAACAGAAACACCACTTTTACCACCTTTGTACCACCTTTCTGGTTTGCCAAATATCTTTAGTTGTGAACGTCGTAGAAGGCTGCAAATTAACCTAGAATGTTTATCTTATCAAGGAGTAAAACTTTTGTATGAAAAATTTTGACATTTGACAATCAGCTAATTGGATAATTACCAATTAGTTAATCACCAAAAAAAGTGAAAATTTTTTATTGGCTCAAAATGATTGAAATCGTTTGAAACACGGAGAAATGTAGTTTTTAGAAAAACTTCAAAAATTGTTCACTTAAAAATTTTTTTCGAGACTTGGAAAAAAGTTTGAAAATTTTAAAATATTTTTTTCCGCCAAAAGTGATCGAATTGCATGAAACGTGGATAAAAATGCTTTGCAGAAAAACTTCGAAGATTTTTAGATTGGGGAATACTAAAATCATCAATATTTGAAGTTGGAGTTCAGTAAATCTCGACATATTTGATATTTTAGTAATTAGGAATAGCTTAGCGGAAAGGGCTGAACCTGAAAAAGGTTATCCACACAATATTAGAGTTTCATAACTAATTACAATACAGCTTTATCAAATTCCACATAAAGAAACAGCATAAAAGGACCATTTAAGATCGAACCGATTTTACCTGCTGTACTATCATTTTATTGATTTCAATGATCAAAACCTTGCCAATCTATACCGGGTATCTGAAAGTACCGGACCTCTTATTTACCTTTATAATTAGACCCAGTTATGCAAGAAATGCGATTTCTCACAGGGATTTCTTTTAACTGTGCACTTTTTGTCACTCTCGCAAGAGGCCCGGTATTATAGGGGAGTATAGGAAGAGAGTGTAAATATACCTTTCATCATCCACTGTGGCTTTTTTGTATTGTGAATGCGCATGCCGCTTCGTTTGCTATGCCAGATACCTCAAATAACCCCCCTATATCATTGCCAGGGTCGGGATAGAGCTGGAGATAGCATCGAGAGGTTGCTAGAAATAGCTAGATTTAGAATAAACTGGTGGTAGCAGGGTGGTGCTAGCATGGATGTAGCAGAACGTAGCTACACGGGGTTTCATTGGAGTTGGTTATTTTAATGGCCAAAGAGTGCCGGAACTAAAGTTACTTAAGATTGCAGTTGAGGGGCAGTGTAAACCACGGTGTAGTCAGGGACACAGAGCTACAGTGCAGGAGTACTGCAAAAGAACAGTGCAAGTGATACAGTCTGCAACAGTAAAACGCCGACGAAGCTAGACTTAAAGTGAACTGATGGAAGCTGGGTGGTGCTAAAATGGAGGTAGCAGAACGTACTACATGATGAAAACAGGAAAACTAAGGCTGGTTGAGACCTAAAAAGATGTGAATCTGTCCTGATAGATCCAGTGAAGAGCGAGTTGCGAAGAGTTTGATCACTAACCTAAAGCTCTAAAGAAGAAGAGGGCTAAAGAGACTCACTTTGATCAATAAATCCGGTACGGCAAGGTCTGTAGCCTTGATAAGAAGATACCATGAAGTAATTCATGCGGTAAAGTCGATTTATATAAAGGGTTTCGTTGGATCTAAAAAGGGTGGGTCAGTCTCTCTGTTTTCATCAGATTCTGATGAAAGGCTGTTAAGCTCAGGACGGTGATCTTAATAGGTCGGATAGCTGTACCTGGTTGCTTTCAACCCACCCTTGTCGCTTGAAAATAAGTTCTCACTCCACCTCTTCCAAAAATGCAGTTACCAGAGCAGGACACTCTTCTTCCTCCTCTTCTTTCAACCCAAACACAATCAGGTTCCAGCTCCTCTCCTCCTCTGCAGTCACAATCTTATCTCCTTCTTCGGCGTTTTACTGTTGCAGACTGTATCACTTGCACTGTTCTTTTGCAGTACTCCTGCACTGTAGCTCTGTGTCCCTGACTACACCGTGGTTTACACTGCCCCTCAACTGCAATCTTAAGTAACTTTAGTTCCGGCACTCTTTGGCCATTAAAATAACCAACTCCAATGAAACCTCGTGTAGCTACGTTCTGCTACATCCATGCTAGCACCACCCAGCTACCACCAGTTTACTCTAAATCTAGCTATTTCTAGCAACCTCTCGATGCTATCTTCAGCTCTATCCCGACCCTGGCAATGAGATAGGGGGGTTATTTGAGGTATCTGGCATAGCAAACGAAGCGGCATGCGCATTCACAATACAAAAAAGCCACAGTGGATGATGAAAGGTATATTTACACTCTCTTCCTATACCCCCCTATAATACCGGGCCTCTTGCGAGAGTGACAAAAAGTGCACAGTTAAAAGAAATCCCTGTGAGAAATCGCATTTCTTGCATAACTGGGTCTAATTATAGAGGTAAATAAGAGGTCCGGTACATTCAGATACCCGGTATAGATTGGCAAGATTGACGGTACAGAGGTTTTGATCATTGAAATCAATAAAATGATAGTACAGCAGGTAAAATCGGTTCGATCTTAAATGGTCCTTTTATGCTGTTTCTTTATGTGGAATTTGATAAAGCTGTATTGTAATTAGTTATGAAACTCTAATATTGTGTGGATAACCTTTTTCAGGTTCAGCCCTTTCCGCTAAGCTATTCCTAATTACTAAAATATCAAATATGTCGAGATTTACTGAACTCCAACTTCAAATATTGATGATTTTAGTATTCCCCAATCTAAAAATCTTCGAAGTTTTTCTGCAAAGCATTTTTATCCACGTTTCATGCAATTCGATCACTTTTGGCGGAAAAAAATATTTTAAAATTTTCAAACTTTTTTCCAAGTCTCGAAAAAAATTTTTAAGTGAACAATTTTTGAAGTTTTTCTAAAAACTACATTTCTCCGTGTTTCAAACGATTTCAATCATTTTGAGCCAATAAAAAATTTTCACTTTTTTTGGTGATTAACTAATTGGTAATTATCCAATTAGCTGATTGTCAAATGTCAAAATTTTTCATACAAAAGTTTTACTCCTTGATAAGATAAACATTCTAGGTTAATTTGCAGCCTTCTACGACGTTCACAACTAAAGATATTTGGCAAACCAGAAAGGTGGTACAAAGGTGGTAAAAAGTGGTAAAAGTGGTGTTTCTGTTGAGATACAAAATTGGCAACAAGTCTAATTATGTTCGTAGGGGTCCTAACTACCATATTCCGTTGAGAAATCCTTGTGAACATTCAAATCCAACGGAATGCCACTTTTCCCCTTACTATCCGCTGAATCTCTATTCGGCATATGTTTATGAACATAATAGCTTAGGGTGCCCAGGTTAGCCGGGTGACGTGTGGCAGTGGCGCTGATCACTTTGTCTGTACTCGTGTAATCGGTGATATAGTAAGACCTGAGCCATCCTTTACAAGTTACAACACTTACTTCCGTGTATCTTTTATAGGAATAATATTAAGGTAATATTAGGTGTAATTTGGAAACATATTTGATTAAAATGTTTCAGGTTTTGGGTATGCTAATGGATTACCTGGACAGCAATATTATACTGATAAGCAGGATGCAGGATAAAGGAACTTTGGGCAAGTACGTTAAACACTGCTAAATTTCTATGTTCACGAGAACTACTTGAGTATTTTCTTCGTTATCTTTAATTAACCGTTTGTGATATATGGTTTGTGGTATATATGGTTGGTGGTTGTCTGAAATTACATATCCTATCTACAATCAAGCCGACACAGGATCTACAAACTGTTTGTTTCAGCATTGTTGTGAACATTTGGGGAAAGATCTGCATGAAGTTGAAAGACGTTGTGGAAACCAAGCCTGAACTAGAGGAGGAGCATTATGAGAGGGTCGGCGAATCACTCAAGGTTTTGTACATGTTTCTTATATGAGACATATAAGAAATATTTTATTTAATAATTGAATTATGTAGTAAATTAATTGATGGGTGACACGACTGATTTATTTGTACTTTATAATAATCCCAATAATAAAATTAATCGAAGAAACTTGGTTAGATACCATCGTGAATAAACCACAAAAGGGACTTCAGTTATATTTTATACATGTGATCGTTTTTGACCATTTCAAACCTTTTTTGTCCACCTGCAGAACGCCAATCAGTAGCTTACCCACTCAGGCTAGCTATACATCACATCTCCGCAAGCAATCCACGCCAATCAGTAGTCTAGACACTCAGCTTAACTTTCACCTCATTTTCAGTTTCTGAAGCATCACTTCCAGAGCAATCTAGGAGAGAATGGTGTCCCAGAGGAGAAGTTGATTGCTGAGCCCGCTTTCACTCAGGTAATAATAACACCACAGCAATTCTAATCTCAGAATTACAGTCATCACGCTCTGGTATCACAGTGTGTTGTCATTCTCTGCTCATTGCCAAATCAGATGAGATGTGATTATTTGCTTTCTTTTTGCTTTTAGTCTCGTATCACGTAATTTTTCGCTTTTGTTTCCTTATTTTATGGAGATTTTTTAATGTATCTGAGCATTAACACCACTCATCATTTTGTTGCGGCTGTTAAGTTAATAATAGATTATTTAAGTCGGGGAAGTTGTAGAGATTATTAACTCCTTGATCATAGCTCTTTCAGTTTAATTAAATACTGATCGTGTGAAGATTCACTGGATCCCAGAACATATTGAGGGTCTTATACCACCAGGAATCATAGACAGCAAGATTATACTAATAAACGCTAATAGTATTAATAAAACTACATTTAATTTAATGGCTGTCCAGTGTCCAATAAGAATTATCTAATCTAGGATTGCGAGGCTTAGCAATCAGTAGTTAAGGGTATATTGTGTATAGCGAATCAGGCAGGGCCAATAAGCTAACAGGACACTACCACCTATAACCAATAAGAGGGTGCTGCGTGCTATATAGAGTATATAGAGTACTATATATAGAGAGAAGGTATATCAATACCGGCCCGAGAACAAAGGTCCGTCCTGGCATCACGTGACTTGTATCGACCTGGTCGGTTAATTGCGCTGCCACTCCCAGTCACTTCATCTCGTTGGCTCCTGCGTAAGGTTGTTGCTCGTGTGTCAATACCCAATATTATGTACTGCTATCAGCCCAATCAGTCGGCTACCACGCCTCAAATCAAGGTTTGACACGATAATTTGGTAATGAGTCAGGGGATATTGTAGTAGGTTGTAAGATGATCACTGTATTATACTACTAGATCACTGTATTTAGACAGGATAATTACGTTAATTAGCTATATTTAGGTGGTGCAAATTTAGGATCGTATTAATATTATCCTAGTGATAGAAAGTCTTGTTTGTTGATAATTATGCATGAGATCTAATCATGATAGGCAGCATATTGAAAGATATACTGAACTTTATAATATCAGTGCTGTGTGCAGCGCTGCATACTATTGTTGGCTATTGTTAAGCTATAGGGATGGAGGGTGATACAGATAATAGGGGTCTCCTCTCTCTGGACCAAATTGCTGCTGGGGTGACACCGGAAGTTGAAACTCCTGCTATTCATTTGGTAAACCTACATGGGCGGTCATGAGCGTGGAATTGTTACCACAAAACATGATTTTGAATTGTGTGACTATTGCATGAGCCATCAACAGTCCCACAAAGCTTACAATAACGTTTTTACCATAACAAAATAATTAGCATCAAGTAAAAAATGGGTGCGTAACTAGAATAGATTAAATCCCGTGAACATTCCAAAACGTTAAAAATGAAATAGACATGGCAGTGTCTCAGAAAATATAATTTATTAGATTTTACGGACCTTTATGTCTGTCTTTTATTTGAGTGCTTTAGCTGACCAGATAAGGTAGTCCTTATAATATCTTTTCATTCAGGTCCTCGATACGATAGACTTACAGAAGATGGACACGACAGAACTCATCATTAGACACTACAAAGAACAGAGTGAAGAGAGGGTCAGTCAGTCAGTCAGTCAGTCAGTCAGTCAGTCAGTCAGTCAGTCAGTCAGTCAGTCAGTCAGTCAGTCAGTCAGTCAGTCAGTCAGTCAGTCAGTCAGTCAGTCAGTCAGTCAGTCAGTCAGCCAGGCAGGCAGGCAGGCAGGCAGTCAGTCAGTCAGTCAGTCAGTCAGTCAGTCAGTCAGTCAGCCAATCATTTTTATAGTCTCGTAGGGGGGAACGCAACGACCATTAATGTCTTTTTATTTTGCCAATACTGACATTTATTGTCTGACATTAATTGTCATTAATGGTCATTAATGGTCATTAATGGTCATTAATGGTCATTAATGGTCATTAATTGTCATTAATAGTCGTTGCGTTCCCCCGTCTCGTACCATGCTGACACAACTCTGATGAAATTGTTCAGCAAAGTTTGTATTGTCTGATTAAAGATTTGTCCAGGGTGAGCGGAGCACAGGAGCAGGTGTTATCGACCTCAAACTGTCTCTCAAAGAAAGGAGAGACGGGAAAGCGATACTGTTTGCCAAGCTACTAGGAGCTCGGGAGCTGATTGCTCTGGACACCAACGGAAAGAGTGATCCGTTCATTCAACTCCAAGTTGTACCTCACCATTTGTTCCCTGACTGCGAGCTGAAGCAGTCTACTGTTAAGAAAAGCACACTGGAACCTATCTATAACGAGATGTTTGAATTGTGAGTTAAATTGTATGCTAGGGTAACTTCATACTGTATACTGTATAGCTTATTTATTCAAATAGCAGATCTCAAGTAGTCAAATATGGGAAAATATGACTATACAATAGGCATTACATAATTTGCTACATCCTATTGACGTTTTGTTAATTTATAAATGATTAGTCTGCGTGACCTAAAAGTAACCTTCCTCAGCATCATACCACAAGATCAAATCTGCAATGGAGTTCTGGTTCTCACCGTGTTTGACTACGATTTTATCTCTGCTAATGACTTCGAAGGTGAAGCAATGGTCAGACTTACTGACCTGCCCAGGAACTCAGAGCAGCACGTCAAATGGACCATGGCCCTTCATCGACCTAAACAAGACTCCATATACAAGGTACGATGATACTGCTTGGAGCTGTGCTACTTGGAGCTTTATAACAAAAAACGTGTAGTTACTTGAAAACTGAACCAAGTATTTGCTTGCCGAACCGGACTTATTAATATGTACACGTTATTATTAAACGCGATAAAATTTGTCTAGACAGTAGGTGATGCTTGGCACAGTGCCAAGTTTGGCACAATGCCAAGTTTGGCACAGTTATACTAATTTTTAAATAAGCTACACCTCTCTTGGGACTGAGTCATTGCGTGCGTGTCTTTCCTTTACGTTCCATACTTAGCGTAATACTAAGTGTTTACATTTCATACGCTCACTAATTTGTCTGGAATAGTTTTACTTTGCCTCAAAGGTAATTAAAGTAAGGTAATAAGCCAATAAGATGCGAGCAAACATGACTCTTTCTTGGCAGAGAGCCTCGTTTAACTCTCTTCATTCCAGATTCTAGCCGGGCGAGTGAATGACAAGATCGCAACTAAGTTTGTTGAGATCAGAAAGAAAGCGATGGAAGCGGAGGAGTTTAAGTTGGCGGACAGTGGAGCATCCTCGACCACTGGGAGCAAAGTCAGTCTTGTGCAAAAACACGGATCCGAGTCCTGAACGACATCAAGATAATTTATTTCGACTTGAAACGACAAAGTTCCTGAGCTAGTGAGATATTGATTCTGTTGGTAGAAGACACTGTTGAATGGGAGTTGAGTGTGATTAACCACTAGTTTAGTAGTCCGCAGCGTTTTTGGCGTCTCAAAAGTCAAAACCACCGAGTTGGACTTGAATCTCAATCATCTTCACGTGAAAGGTGTGAATTGTGCCACATGTCAGTAAGGTTAAGTGTCTATCATCTGTGCTGCTAAGATTTAGAAGCTGTGGTCCAAAAAATCTCTTGCACTTCCAAGAAAAATTGGTTGAAATTTTATATAGAGTTAGTGATTAATAATGAGTGATTGTTATTTCGTATTTTCTCAACCGGCGTCATTTAATGTTATTTGTATTTGTTTACATGAATTATAAATTGTCATATAAACGCTCAATTTTGCCCAGAACATGTCATAAATATGGACTGGATTTAAACTTAACAAAGAACGGTTATTTCTCCATTAAAATCAAACCATGTAAATAGCGTACTATTTAACTATTAATATTATTTATTTGTTTCGTGTTTATTTGTTATTCATTGACTTGTTATTTTGCCAATTTTGTTTTGATTGCAATTGTAAAAGCTCTTTCAAACTTATGCGAAAAAGAGATTTGTTTGCTTTATTATATTTATGTTATTGTAAATTTCAATTGATTATTTAAAGATGTGGTCGAAGCTGACTCCTCTTTGCCGACGTGCTTCCATACGTGCCAGCCAATGTTAACTCAAAATATGAAATATTTATTCCCGCTTATAATTATATCATTATCAATAACCAATGTTATGAAAATTATTTTATATTAGAAAAAATTGAAGATCATTAATCACTCTGCACTCGACTGTCACGTGACTTTTTCAACCCGTTCTCTAGTTGGCTCTCAACGACTATTCGAAACCCGACCCTCTAATCTGATCCTAACCCTAACTCAATCCCTAACAAAAGTATATACTGAAACCCTAGGGTCTGCCGACACTACGCCATGTGGCCCGTCGCCCGTGTGTTTAGATAGACGGGCCACAGAGCGGGAGCTCTAAACACACTGTGCCTTTTGACCCACGCCATGTGGCCCGTCGCAACATGGCGTAGTGTGGGCAGGAAATCCGTGCCTCTGAATAGAGGCGCGGATTTGCTAAATCCACGCCAAGTGGCACAGTGTGTTTAGGTTAATCGGCCCATGTGGCCCGTCGCCACATGGCGTAGTGTGGGCAGACCCTAAACCATAACGAGAAATTAGACCAACTTCCTTATACGGTCATATCACGTGATCGAGACATTTTTTGCGAGCGTGCTAAATCACTTTACATTCGATCTTCGAGATTGTTCTAAAACTAAAAGGGCCCCCGACAGTTGTAATCGATGTATTTTTGTCATACGTTGTATGACCCACCGCGCACGAGTGCGCGGCTCCCCATGTATAAACTCTACACTATAGTAAAACGACAATGGGGGTCACAACGTGATACTTACTGGGCGGCGCTCAGCCTGTCATTCCATCAAATTTTTATTATGTTTATGAGCATAATAGCCTGGGGTCCCCAGGTAACGTGATACAAGCTTTACCTCCACTTTCATGGCATAGCAAAAAAATTTTAAAAAGTAGCTTGGAATGTTATGGCTGAAATGTTTTGAATTTTGGTCCGCACGAGTGCGCGGCTCCCCATGTATCGTAAAGACCTTCACATAGCCATGTGTCTACGCATACTGCGTGACGCGCTTGTTTCACAAGTAGAATAGTGAAACGACCGTGGGGGTCACGACGTAATACAATGTATTTCCGGACGCTGATTCCGAATCACCCCTATGACATAGGGGTAAAATGCTCCCTGCCGAGATATTGGCGAAAAACTGTCTCGATCACGTGATATGACCGTATAAGGGAAGTTAGTCTAATTTCTCGTTAGGGTTAGGGTTTCAGCATACGCTTTTGCTAAGGATTGGGTTAGGGTAAGGGTTGGGATCAGATTATAGAGGGTTAGGGTTTCAAATAGTCGTTCAGGACCAGCTAGAGAACTTGACGGATGTTACTCGTCTAAATTTCTTCGAAGTAGCGCGCTCCGCTTTCTTCTCCCGATGGCAAGTGCTACAAAGTAGCGCGCGCCGGGCCAGATCATTAACAATGGTCAACTAGAGAACGGGTTGAAAAAGTCACGTGACAGTCAAGTGTAGAGTGATTAATCATCATCCATTTTTTCGCCAGGTGAGCATTTTAACCTAATGTCACGGAGGGTGATTCGGAATCAGCATTCGAGAATACATCGATGCGATACAAGTTCAAAATTGGTTTTAACTGTTGGTTTCAACTTTTAGAAAAATCAAGTGTAGAGTGATTAAATTTAACTCGTTAAGAATTTACCTGGGGACCTCAGGCTATCATGTTTATATAAACATAAAAATTCGGCGCCGCCCAGTAAGTTAAGAATAAGCACGCTCAGGAAAAAGCCAATGTCGAAGTTACGTACTCAGTACTGCCACTGGGCGGCGCTCATCCTGTCATTCCGCCGAATGAACATGATATTGATAGCCTGGGGTCCCCAGGTAAATGTCGAAGCGGCTGACATGGACATATATGGTGACAATTTGATCTCCAGAATGCGCATATTCCCATTTTCGTTGTAAGACTAAGAGTCTACATAAATTATAAATATAAAACGGCCAAAAATGTTACACGATAAAACTAAACTTGCTCGGATTTTTAAAATTTTTGTACCATTGTTTTCTTGAGAATGTGAGCTTTTTCACAATACCAAATTTGTCATACCTTTTTGGAATGATCAGTGAGTTTCGCCGTGCGCGGCTTTTGGAGCAAAATTAGGTGTAAAATGTAAAAGCCGCGTAATTTTACGAAATTCGTTGATTTTTGTCGTATTATTCTATCGTATCTTCGGTTCCTGAACATAAATCATTCTGAAAATTTGTCAGAACCTTGCAATCATACTTAACTACCGAACCTAAATTAGTTGGGAGAGATTGGCCTTGATTAAGAGGTCTAAAAATGACAAAATAGGTATAAATTCGTTGATAACTCAAATTCTGACCATCGAAATTGCTCAAACTAATTTAGGTTCAGTAGAACATAAGTGTTTACGTAAGCTGACCAAATTTCAACAAAATTGTTATATGGCCTGGGAAGTATTATAACTTTTTGATTGTTTCCGAAATAATGTGCTGGCCGAAATACGAGCTAAAAAACCATTGGTCAGCGCGCGCGTCTTACGGTCGATGGTGCACGGCTTAACGCGCGGGTGATACTCGTAAAATATTTGTTCCATGACCGTCGACGAGTTCAACTCGGCGCGCGTCTTGGTAGGTTGTAAACCTACAATTAACGCACGGCCTACTTATTCATTATCGAGACCAAAATTCAAAACATTTCAGCCATAACATTCCAAGCTACTTTTTTAAAATTCTTTGCCATGCCATGAAAGTGGAGGTAAAGCTTGTATCACGTTGTGACCCCCATAGTCGTTTTACTACAGTGTAGAGTTTCTACGAGACAGAGGGAGCCGCGCGCACTCGTGCGCGGCGGGTCATACATGCAACGTCAAACGTATGACGTATTACAAGGCTGAGCCGGGTGAAGAAATTTTGAAACTACATTACTGCACGTCTTGATCTTAGCTGGTACATTGCTCTAACCACAGCCCTCTCGCTTCACATAGCCATGTTGCATGTACGTATACGCGCTCTGCGTGACGCGCTTGTTTCAAAAGTAAAATATATATCCCGTGCCGCCTTCGGCGGTCGCGCGCTAATACTGCCATGCAAGCGAGATGGCTCTGGTTAGAGCAAAAAGGGTAATTCTTGACTTGTGAAACAAGTGCGCCCGCGGTAGCGCGAAAGCACATGGTTAAATTAGGTGAACGCACCGTGTACTACATTAACGCCGGGTTGGACTAGCGTCCGTCAACGGTCTAGTTTACTGTCATGATGGACTAGCACTCGCATGGGGCTAAAATTTCGGAAAAAAGCGGCGCGCGCGGCGCTACTTCGAAGAAATTTAGACGAGTAACATCGGTCAACAACAGTTTATTCAAAACAAATATTTTAAAAGTTTTTCTCGTTATTGTCAGTTATCATTTGTTAATTAAATGTACTGACCTGGTGCGCGCTTGTCACGCGTTGTAGACCTGCCGTGCACGAGTGCGCAGCTTATTCATTATTGTGGCTTTCGCCACTAGTAAGTGAAACGACAATGGGGGTCACGACGTGATACAAATGCGTGCTACTTCTTAATATATATAGCACTAATATTTCGAGAAGAAAGCAGTGTTTACTTTACACAGCTTGCTAGTCTATAATTGCTCAATCGTCCTCTCACATATACGCGAGAAGCTCAAAAAGAGCGCCGCGCATTGGGATTGGCGTGCCAGGTGAGTTAAAACCATGTGTGTACCAGCTTCACGCATACTGCGTGACGCGCTTAAGTTTCACAAGTAGAATACTTCGGCGGTCACGCGGTACTGCAAGCGAGAGGGTTGCTCTAACCAGAGCCCTCTCGCTTGCAGTAGCGCACGACCGCCGGGATATTCTACTTGTGAAACGGGATATTCTACTTGTGAAACAAGCGCGTGACGCAGTACGCGTATACACATGGCTATGTGAAGAACCCTTTTTACCGCCGTGAGGCGGGCGCGCGCTATTGCAAGCGCAAGGGCTCTGGATAGAGCAACTGTTTATTTAAGATTTAGTTTTTGTTCGGACGTTGAAGCCGCCCTAAGTCGAGTAAGTCGAGTTATGATAAAGAAAAAACTTTTGTTTTAAAAAAAATTATTTAGCAACTTCGAAGTTCATAAATTTTAAATTTTAGCTAAAATGTAAAAGAGGGCCGGGAAATTGCTAATTGTGGTTTGCTGTCGTAAAAACTTAATCTTAAGTCCCAAAATTTATTTAAAAATTTTTCACTTTTCCCATCAAAATGAGTCTATTGCATCGAAATACTCCCACACTATTACTTATACTATATTTTTTTAAATTTTTCAACTGTTCTTGACTCTCGACGCAACTTTTTTAACACACGCTGCAACCCCTTTTGATCTAATTACAACACGTTACAAATCTATTACATTTATTGAATATTATGTAACTCCGGGTAATATCCTGTCCAACCCAGGATATTCACCTAACCATGTGCTTTCGCGCCACTGCAAGCGCAAGGGCTCTGGATAGAGCAACCCAGGATACATAACATGAAGACTTTGTTGTAACTTGTGTGAAAAGCATTAATATGAAACCAATTCAAATTGTTTGATGCACTAGTGGCATCAGAGATGAACACTAAGCCTACTATTTTTACAGTACACTACAACGTAGAATCGTAAATGTACTGAAGGTGAATCCTGAGAAGATCTTGATCCTAAAAAGATTTTTGATCTTTTGGTAGGGCCCTTCCCAATTTAATACTCAGTAACGGAGATCTGATCATTTGGCTGACACAACCAAGAAGTCATTACACAAATGTGTCATTTTGCATAGATCCAACGGATCCTTATTTATCTCCCCACTCCCTAAACTAAGTGATTCGAACCCTGAACCTTATTTTCTTGAAAATACGTTAGAAGTCTTTTTTGTGGGTAACTGTCCCAGTTTTACCAAGAACAGTGGTCTAATTTCTGGAAAAGTCTGATCAAAAACACTGCTGTATGCAAACATCTGAATAAAAGTCGGTCCAGTAATAATTTGATTAGTGATTTTCTATAATTTGGTGTCCTCATTAATGTCCATTTATCTTTTAGCATGTTGTAAAATCCAAACGAAGCTGAAATGTTTTAAGAAAAATGGCTGAGCGACCAAGAACATCCCATAAACCTAGACCTAGAGTGCAACATACTGATAATGAAGAGGTTCAATTACCTGAAGATGTTTCATTCCCCCTTGTGCCTACTCATGATGTGAATGCATTCCCTGATACGGAAAGTGATTCTCAAGATAAAGGTTTGGATTATTCTACTCATAAACTCAGAAAATTGTCTCATTCCTTCCTTCTTTAAATTCTATTTTCTAGAAGTTAAACTTGACAATAACTAGATGATTCCACAGGGGATTCCACCAGTGATTTGAGGACAAAGTTTACAAAAAAAGTACAAAACTGGGAAGTGAAACAATCTAAACCGATAGATCTCTTCAAAAAAGGTGCATATATATATATACGATAATTATTATATAGACTTTAATCAGTAATTCCTAAAATCGTAAATATTAAGATTATGTTAATTGAGGTTGGTACTTGATAATTTAATATGGTCCAATATTTCAGTTAAGAGACCATGGTCTGCAGCAGGCAAGATTCAGCCAGTAATTGAGATGACTGAACGGCCAGGGACAGCACCAACTGCTGTGGCTACCCCTGACCCTATCTCTGCTACAATCAAAGAGGAAACATCATTTGAAAATCCTGTGGCTGAAGATGTATCCAATGAAAGAGTAAAATCTCCGATTGCCTGGGCCTCATCTGAGGATTCCAATGAAAATATTCCTGTACCAGATGGTATAAACTTTGTCAACAAAGCTGCTATAGAAGGTGAAGCATTGAAACCAGAAAGTAATGTTATAGAGGAGATTACAAGAGCTCCTACACCTGTTAGAACAGCTTGGGATGAACAGATTAAACGTGACATGGGCTCCAGAAAGAGTTCAACTGCATCCAGAGAAAGCAACAGAACCTTGGGCGATGATCTCTCTGCATTGCGCCCTCAAGCATATGTTCCATACAATGTGGCTAAGAAGAATATTAACAGAGTCATCTCTGATATGAATCTGATGAGGGAGGACCACAGGAGGGCACTGACGGATGTTAACAGGATCTATAAAGAGATTGAAGTCGAAACTCAGGTAAAAATGTGATAAATATGTATGTGACTCACATAATTGATGACATCTCAGTTGATTTGATTTAAGAATAATTATATCATTTGTGATTTTAACTAGATGTACTACCCCCAGAGTACGTTTACGGAGTTTGTGACAGAGCTAAGGCACGACTATCGGGATAAAGTTAAAGCTTTTACCCACATTATTGACATCTGCATGAAGGACAATGCAAGGAAAGAGGAAGACTGGAAACTACAAACTGAGGTAATTACCGAAAGCATTAAAACGAATATTAGTCACAAGTGAAAAAACTATCGCATATAATAGAAAAATATATTATGATTAGTATTGACTAGTCTTCAACTTCCTTTTTTATTCAGAGTTTGAAGGATTCTAATTTAAAGCTTGTTGGAGAGGTGAATGAATTGATCGAGTATAACCAGAAACAGAAAGATATGCTCAGTAAAAATAATGTAAGTAAAATTGAAAGTGAGAGCATATATACCACACTTGAATTGATAATGTAATTATATAATTTACGGGTTTCTTAATTTGGAGTATAATATGTTTTACACAGAGCAATATTTTAAAAACACTTCTTTGTTATCATACGCTGCACCTTCTGATAACATCATATTTTCAGGCTAAAGAAATAGCACAGCTAAGACAAGCAATGACAGAAGAACGAAGACAACTGCTATTATCATTACAAGCTAGAGAGGAATCATTGAGAGAGAAATATGAGATTCACATCCAACAAATGGAGGACAGAAATAGGAGGAAGATTGACATCCTCATCAAACAGCATCAATCGGTATTTTTTAGAAAATGCTTTTTAGCAGCTTGCATAGAATATTGTAGAATATTCTACTGTCTACACCTCATTTCAGCAGTCAGCATCAAGTTACTAGTAATGACATTTTCTTCAGAACATACAACTGAGAGAAGGTGTCTTTGCGAATCAGTACGACACGCAGACCAAAGAAAAAGAGGGCAAACTTGCTGAGATGCGGGAATCTCACATCCTGGAGCTGAAAGCAGCAGCAGATGAAGAAGAGAAGAGAATGATCGAGATGAGGGAGGAGGAAAGGGTGAGGTTAGAGAAACTTCAGAATGAGAAAGAGGAAGAGATTAAAAGGTGAGTTAAACTTTAGCTGAGCAATAATTTCACGTTAAGTCCAGTCTGATCCTGATCTTTTATTTCTCAGTCATAAAGGATTCCAAACTCAATTATATCAAAAAATATTACCTCATAATCATACTGTAATAATATGTAGCACCGAATCTGATTTATTTCCTAAAAGGATTGCTGAGGAACGAGATAAGTTGGAGAAGGAGTGGCTAGCTGAACGGGACCTCATTAATGGGGAATTTCAGACGAAGATAGATGGACTCAACAAAACTATTGAAGACAGCGAGTCACAGATAACGGTACAATAAGTACATGTTTATTAAATATCAAACTTCAAATGAACATTATATATGGTTAAAATAGTCCTGCTTTATTTCAGGATGTGTGTACTGTCTACTGTGTACACTGTGTACTGTGTACTATGTACTGTGTACTGTGTACTGTGTACTGTGTACTGTGTACTGTGTACTGTGTACTGTGTACTGTGTACTGTGTACTGTGTACTGTGTACTGTGTACTGTGTACTGTGTACTGTGTACTGTGTACTGTGTACTGTGTACTGTGTACTGTGTACTGTGTACTGTGTACTGTGTACTGTGTACTGTGTACTGTGTACTGTGTACTGTGTACTGTTTACTGTGTTCAGCAAATTATAACCTGCAATTTGTAAAAGGTACACGAGGATGCACTGTCAGAATACAAGTTGAAAGTTGAAGAGGATATGAAGGAGTTTGAGGTTCAGCGCAAGGCAGAGATGGAGCGAGTCAGAACTGTAGCTTCTGAGGAGGAGAAAAAGAGAATCATGGTTAGATTCTTAGAGCTCAATCCTGACTAATCATTTTCAGTTTATCTGAGATTAGTTGAGTGAAACATTTTGATAAACTTCAATTGCTCCAGGCTGAACATTTTTGCTTGATCTATTTGTTTTTAGCAATTATCTTTAGGAAGAATTGGAGGTAAATAAGCGGAGAACAGAACGGAAAATGAGGAACTCTTTGGCGAACATCCAGTTCCACGAGTCCCAGAAGCAGACTCTTTTGGGGAAGATGGACTACGCCGAAAACCAGTTAGTAGATTATTGTGATGAGGGCATAGGAAGTTGATGAATCTTCCTGTTTAATAAAGGATTACTCTCATTGTTAGGCAATCTCGAAGTTAAAACGGCCAGGTAGCGTAGTTGGTTGATCATCGGATTTGTAATCGTAAGATTGCGAGTTCGAATCCCACTGCCTGCCTAGTCGTGGGGTGAGCATCGTTGACGCTCTGCTAAGGATCCCGAGTGGTCTATGTAGCCCCACGGTTCACTCAGCCGAATGCTCGAGAAATCGGGTGTGAGGGTTAAATGAGGAGCTGTGCTTGATCAACACAGCGAAGCCTCGGGCGAAGAAAGTGTGGCATAGTGCCTTAACCGTTGCTGGCCTTAGGAACGATCCTTCGGCTTCTTGTAAAGCTCTTCCTTGAAAGTGCTGGTTTACATTGTAATGCAGGTAATGCCGAAGTAAAATAACAAAGGTGGTCGACTCATTCGATGGCCTTGTTGCGTCGCAACGAATCCTCATAAGATAAGATAAGATAAGAAAACGTTCTCAAAACGTTCCAATATCTTTGTTAAGATTTAGGATAAATATTGACTTCACACACTCCCTCACCGCACCAATAGATCACTTGACACAAGCTAAGTCAGAGTCTGTACCAGGTGAACTGGGGACACAACGTTGTACCACTAGATTTACCACAAAAACAACATGTAACATGCAATAACGATGTAATTAGTAAGGAACACAATTTAACCCACCATACTGCATTTCCAAACATGATCTGGTAGCTACAGCAACCTCTGGGGCGTTCCTAACTCTCTCAGCATCAGCAGTGTCAAAGACCCAACAGTACCAGTTTCTCGCATCTAACAACACTGCTTTATACCCCTCATCTCCCAAACAGAAGTCTCTGCAATACTCCTCCAGCTCTTGGAGACTGACTTGCTTCGTTTGTGAGGCAGACGTGATATTTACATTTTTATAAGATTTGGAATAGTGCCAGCAACTTGTTTCCACATCATAACCGAGAAGAAAAAGGAGAAGATAAGTTCTCATTATGTTAACAAGGTTACAAGGCGTACGATATTTAACGAGTTTAAAGGTGTACTACAAACTTGGACCCCATTGTACTACTAAATGCTAAGACAATATAGTGGACAGAACCTTGTTATGTAGACTAAGACATCGCAGCTTACATGGAGAAATAACAGTCATGCATCAATGATCAGCATTTACTTCTAAGTTAATTGCTAGCTGTAGGTTACAACCCTCACCTGCTGGATATCCATGTAACTGTTAAGGAGCACTGCTACCACGTGATACCACGTGACTTCTCATTGCACCGGCCCCTGGAACCACTCTATTACCCTGTTACCGGTGGTATTTAATTTTACTTTCTTATTTGTGCTCATGACTTAAATGGTGATGTAAATGATAAAGACTAACTAATTTTCTACAAGTCAATTAAAACGTCTGTTACATGACGTTTTAATCTGCTGAATTTTTGTTGAATTATTATTTGGAAAATATTTGAGAATTACAGCTCAATCTGCTGGAGATTATCACGTGGATTTTGGTTGAGTAGAAGCAGTTAAACGAAATTCTTCAAAAGAAAATTTATTTTGAGAATCATCTACATAACATTTTTGACAAAAACTATAATATAAACTATGATTTTTAAAAAAAAATTTGTATATATAATTTTTTTTTTCTAAAGTAAAATACAACTATTAACTATTAAAACCATTAACTACGGCTACTAAGGCAAAACTTCATTGACCAAAGTCAGTTCATTTAACGAGGTCTTGTGTTGAGATGCTGAACCAGCAAGTCAGCCACGTCGCTCACAAGGCCCCAGTTGTTACACTCGCTATCCTCCTCCCTTACGTCTCCTTTCTTCACTCCCTTCTTTAAAATGTCATCCCAACTGAGGACCACCTCGTACGCAAGTGCGCGGCACAGATCTGCGCAGCGTCCGTTGTAGTACATCTCGGTCACTTCCCCCAGCGTCAGTTTCTTCTTAAACACGTTCAGCTGGTACATGTCGCCTGCAACAGTTTATATGATTTGATTTGATTTGAAACTTTTACAAAATAGCAAATATACAAATGTACAGCAAGTCGAACAAACATATAAAATGGGCCGAAATGTATAAATGCTATAAAGCGTGGGTCAGTGAAACAAGTACAGAGGACAACTTTCAAAACAGGAGTTTTATGGCCGCCCAAAGTCTCAATAACATCACCTCCACCTAGTAATAAAATTATGAAACGTGAAAAGTGTGAAACAATCAAATAATAAAATATTCAAAATATATAGTTGTCTCTTAAATACAGATAACGTCTGAAAATTCTTAAAATAATCATCACTCCTTCATATATACTGATCAGTGTCCGAGAGTGTAACTCATGATGACTTCTTATCACGGCTACATACCTTCCCGTACCGGATGTAGTGGTCGAGATGAGTCTGTTCCGCCCTCTTCTTCTTCAGGTCAGTGACCAGATGCTTCCTTGTTGCTCGTTCTTCGCTGGATCTGTCTGGACATATCCATACATCTTTGTGCTTCTCCCTCAGTCTCCCTGTTTTCATCAGAATCTGATGAACCGCTGTTGAGCTTGGGACGGTGATCTTGACTGGTCGGATAGCCGTACTACCTGGCCTCTTCCAACCGACTCTAGTCGCTTCGAAGTGAGGTTTCTCCCCGATCTCCTCCAAAACTGCGGTAACTAGCGCTGGAAGCTGTTCTTCCTCCTCTTCTTTCAGCCCAAACACGATCAGGTTCTTGCTCCTGTCCTCCTCTGCAGCCACACTCTTCATCACCTTCTTCAGGATTTTACTGTTGCAGACCGTACCACTTGCACTGTTCTGTTGAACAGCTGCACTATAGTTCTGAATCCCTGACTCCACCGTTGTTTGGACTGTCTCCTCAACAGACGTCTTAAGCAACTGTAGTTGTTCGTCCTTCTGCATCAGCAGCTGGCCCTGCAGTCTGATCACCTTTTCTTTGTCTGCTAGTGCTTCCGTCTTGAAGCACTCGATGATCTCCTTCAAGAGATACATCTGACTATTCTGCCGACGAACAAGGTCCACTGCATCCACAATCCAGCCAGACAGAGTCTGTTTATCCTTAGTCTTGATCTTTTCACGACTTTCGTAGTCAATTTCACGGTAGTCCATATGCAGGTCTTTTTCTAACTTATCGGACCAGCGTGCAACACAGCCTTCCACATCTTCCTGTTGATCATAGTTGAACTCCTTAATCAACTCCTGGGATCGGGTCAAAGTTGGGTCATCCCCCATAGTGTACTTGTATAGTAATGTACAAGTACACACGCAAAGGTAAACTACACGGTAGCAGCAAACTGAACTTATTGCAAATTTACAAAAGATAAGAGAGCTCGATATTTGCAACACAAGCTACACTAATTTCAAAATATGAAAAATTAATTTTGATTAATACTTACTTACTTGATACTTGATAAGGTCTCCTCAATCATTCGAGTGGCCTGCACCAAGGAATTGCCGCTTATGTCGTATCATCTCTCTCCAGTGCTTTCGGTTTCCTGCCAACTCTCGGACCTTATCAAATACAATGTCTGGATCTCCTGTGAATGTTACTGCGTCTTCTAGGACACAGGTTCGCCAATTCTTTCTTGGCCGCCCACGTGATCTTCGGCCGTGAGCAGGTGTCCAATCAAATAGATACTTTGGTAGCCTGGTGTCCGGCATTCTAGAAACATGTCCAAACCAGCGAAGACGGTTAGCACTGATGTAGGTTATAACCGGGTTTATTCTTGCCCGCTCCAACACTTGAACATTGCTCGTCCGGTGGAACCACTTAATTCGAAGGATTCTCCTCAAACAGTTTTGATGAAAAACTTCGAAGCGATGTAGTTGCTTTGAAGTAGTGTTCCAGACTTCGCTTCCATAAAGTAATATTGTTAGAACCGCTGCAACATATATCTGTATTTTGGTGTTAGTTTGGATATTGCGATTCTTCCAAATATTACCGAGCTGATTGAATGCTCCTGAGGCTTTCTGGATCCGTGCAGACAAGTCCCGGTCAATAGTCCCATCACTTGATATAATCGACCCAAGGTAAGTGAAGTTGCTGACTTGCTGGATAGCCGTGTCTCCTACTGTAATGTCCACCGTTGCTGCTTCAGTATACGGCCTCTGTGATGTATTCTTGCCGATGGCCATAACCTCTGGTTTCTTCGCATTTTGATTAATATATTGATAAAATCAATGGATGAAGAAAAACAGAAATAATTTATGGTACAATTTATGTCGTATCAAAAAAGTTAATCCTAGATCCTGATTACCTGCAAACACATCGTTTATATCAAAAGATCCTCCCGGAGTGTCTTGTTCTTGTCCTAAGACCAGAGTACCGCCTAGTGGTATCTGCCCTGTAGGGTGGACTCCACTCATGTAAACCCACACTCCGTTCATGTAGAAGTCTGCTCTTCCAGATTTCCAGGCGAAACAGAGGTGGTACCATTCGTCCCGCATAATCGTAGTGTCGTACTCCACATTAAACAGTCTGACATTTGTGGTGATGTGGTGATGACGAGCTGCCTTGAGAAGGATGGAGTTATCTTTACCTGCCACTGCGTAGCTGAACCAAGGAACCCCGAGTCTGCTCTGATCAAGCCTTTTCTTGAGCCAAGTACAGACAGAAAACTCCTGTTGTGCAGCACTGAGATCAGGTTTTAGGATCACGAAGTTACTTGTTGACAACTCCTCCGGGAAGCGGAGTAGTTTGTCTAGAGAGCCTGCAACACAGAGTGCGGCCAGGGCACACAGAGCAAGAGGGAACGTAAGTCGCATCGTGAGAACTGGAATAAGCTAGTGGGACGCAGTGAGGTGATTTATATAATATGGATATTGTAATGACTTAATCATCAAAATCTCTTTAAAAGAGGGGGATTAGTTTACTACAGTGCTACAATAATTCATCATGCATTCTGGTCAAAAGTGGGAACTTTTGGTATTTTGTGGAGTCATTACGACATCCGATCGTTTAAAAATTGCCGTTGCATAATATAAAATGCTCTAAATTCAATTTACGATAAGATTGGTGTATTAATCATAATATCACAATTCCGACAACTCATTACGCATCTAAATATTAACATTGAAATGGATTCTCGGTGCACCAGAAAGTTCTCGATTATTTTAGCTTTTAAGGTAGATGTTGTTGTGAAGAGGGTGAGAAAATTGAGATTTTTTGGGGTTTGTAAAGTTATGAAGAAATAAACATTTCATTATAGCTTGTATTAAGCTGATATCAACTTAACTTTGCCAGGCTGAGAGAAGCGGAGGTAGAACAGGAGGAGGCGGAAGCGGAAGTGACGCACGAGAAGAACCAAAGACTGAAGGAGTTTAAAAGTGAGGAAGAGGTGAAGTCAGCTGAGTTGGAGCACATCAAATCTGAGGTAACCTAGCAACTACACTAGTAACCTAGTAACTATACTACCCCCCCCCCCCCCCCCCCCCCCCCATAATCTGAGGTAACGGTAATATTCCTGATTAGTTGTAAATCAGACGGAATTCATTGTGCTGGCAAATTAAATGTTGCTAATTTATATTATTTAGCTTAGCTGTAATTCACGTGTTCCGTTAATAAATCTGCTATCTGTTATGTAAAGTTATAGTTCCAAATTCTGACTGGAACACTGTAGCACTCCGCAGCAGTCCTTGCTACAGCAGAAGTGCTTGCTTCAGCAGTGCTTGCTGCCGCTGAAAGTGAAAGCACGGAACGTCTTGAACCAGAACAAGCACCTGGCGCTGAGTCTTCTACAACAACTTCCCCTGATAGTGTGTCTATTGATAAACATGATTTATCAACAAACAGAGAAAATGTTGAGCTGAAGAACAAAATGGAACTTCTTATAATTGAGGTCTGTTATTGGTTGACTTGCATAATGTACAATTTACACTAATCCATGAACTCTTTTAGTGTAAATTTCATTTTTTAATCACGGGTTCAGACTTCAGATGTATCCGTATTTCAACAGTTTCCTGAAATTTGAACGGAAAATTTATCAATTTGAAATTTCGCACTCAACCTCTTCCTTGTTAGTTAAATAATGCTAAAGAAGAAACGAAGCTAGCAAGAGAGGAGGTAGAAAGAGTAAGAGAAGAAAATACGAAGAAATTTGAAGATGAGAAAAAACTAGCTGAAGCTAACTCTAATTCTCGTGAAGCAGAGTTACGAAGCAAAAAGGATGTAAGTTTAGTTGCTGTTCAGTTTAGTTGCTGTTCAGTTACATATTCATTTATTGCTTGTTTAATTTGTTTTTGTGCTTAATTTATGATTATTTGTATCTGAGATTCTGTGATTAAATTTATTTTGTTGATTACAATGTTGTGATTGCATAATTTATTGTAAATATAATATGTTTCAGAATTATGTAACGTGATTGAAATATTTTAAACGGGTCATATCCTGTCCAAACCCAGGATGCATAACAAGAAGAATTTGTCGTAACCTTGTATGAAAAGCATTAATAGAACTTACTGGTTGAGAACTAATAGTTTTCTGTAAAATAAACTCTTTTTATTATCGCTGTGGAATTACCTCACAACCTGTCCCCGTCAGGTGATTGCTGATTTGAGGAAACAGATAACAGACTTAGAAGCAAAAACTATAGCTGATTTACCACAAGATGCTCAACAAACTATCCAGACATTTCAAGACAGGTGATAAAACAGCCGCCCCCCCCCCCCCCCCCCCCCCCAAACAGCAGTTTACTGAATTTAGAGGCCCATTGGTTTAGCAGCTCCTTACTCAACCTTTATAAGCAATATATGGTATAACCCCCCCCCCCCCCCCCCCCCCCCCCCCCGGTATTCAGAAGGCTTTAATGTAAGGTACTGTGAGCTGCTCCCAAATCCAGACGCCATTATTTCATTTTCATAACAATAACCCTGTCAACTGTTTAGTCACTAACTACTGATAGGGATCTCTTTTGAACATTTGTTTTGATTTGCGGTGCGATCATATTCTGGTTAAGATATTGCAGGTAATGAAACACATACCGTTAGTAGGTCATTACTCCCACTTAATTGATGATTCTACAGGTTGGTCACACTGGAGCAAGAAGTCGAAAGTAAGGATGAACTGAAGAATAAACTGGAACTGTCAATTGAGCTGGAGAGAACTAGAGCTACTTCACTTCAAGAAGACGTTCATAGATTAAATCAATCCCTGGCAGACATGGACGTAAGTTTTCATTTTCATTTTCATTTTCTTTTATTTAATTTTATTGCCCGTTATATTTGTAATAATATACCAGTTTCCTCAATCTGATTGATTCTATAGAGCTAGTAGCATTTGTGATAGCTTGTGATACGCTGTTACTTTTTGCAGGTAAAACTATCAGATGTGAAAGAAGAGAAAGATAATGAAAACAAATCTCTCTTGATACGGTGTCAAGAGGCAGAGACAACAAAGCTTGTTGGGAAGGAATCTGCAAATAAAGAGCTAGAAATTATTGAACTCAAAAATAATCTGGAGCAGCTTTATTCGGAGGTTGGTGAACACTGGAAGAATTAAGTTATTATGATTATTATGATAATTAGGATAATTAGTTATCAGGATTGATTGATAGTATGTTCTAATCGTTCTTCGTTTTTAATTCACAATCATACAAAAAAGAGCTTTTCTTGTCATTGTTGGGTTGACCCACCATTCATCATTTATAATTCTTATCATTTACAATTTTTTCAGTTGAACAGCAGTAAAGAAGAAGTTAAGTCCGTGCTGGAGAAGATGGAGAAGCAAGAAGAAGGAAATGAGAAGAAGATTGAAGATGAGAAGAAACTGACAGAAGCTAACTCCAAGTCTCATCAAACAGAATTACAAAGCAAACAAGATGTAAGTTAAACCTGTATGTAAGGAGCACACTCTCTGTAGATCTATACACACTGTTCTACTTACTTATACAAAGTACACGGTATTAATATCCTATTATGACTGTAATATTCATTAATTAACGATCCTGTAACGTTAATATTTATCACTGTCAGATCATTACTGATTTGAGAAGTCAGATCTCAAGTTTGGAATCAGAGAAGTTGGCTACTCTACCAACTGATGCCCAGGACACAGTCAAGACATACCAAGACAGGTATGTACCGTGAATCAGAACTCCACGGGTGTTGAGTTCTTACTTCCTGATAAATTGGCTTCTTATAACCACTTGGTTTTGATAAACATTTGTTTTCCTTATCATCAGAAATGACAAGTTGTGTAATATTTGCACTCTTGTGCGACCTAATACTTTCACTTTCACTTTCACAAATTGGAAACCATTCCCACCAGGTTAACAGTGTTGGAACAAAAGATTGAGGAAAACGATGAGGCGAAGAACAAACTGGAACTGTCGGTAGAGTTAGAGAAAACTAAAGCCTCTTCTCTGGATGAAGATGTTGGCAGATTGAACCAGACTATTGCTGATTTGAGTGTGAGTTTCTATATTTATGTTTACAATATTATTTTTAGTAGTTTACTAGTAATTAAGTTTACTACTAGAATATACTATAGTTTACTACTAGCATAGTTCTGGAACTCTAAACCGTTTAACTCTAAAGTGGTGTCAAGAGACAACAATATTTATTTATTTTGTGATTTTGACACCACCTGGGGACCAATTTTCGGGACCTAAATTATTTATTCCTTGGCCAATTTTTGTATTTCTATATACTGGTCAAAAGACCTCAGCAGGTGGTTTGTCTCCACTCTTGTTTCTTTTTTCTTGTCCCCCTGCATCCTGTCCTTCTCCTTTGCTTCCCCCTCTTTCAGTCTTCATTTTCAGCATCAGCCTCATCAGTTTTAGTATTCAGAGCCACTTGCTCCTACGACCGTACCTTACTGGCTCACTGCATTTGGCCCAAACGGCATTTTAATTTTCCGTTTTTTAACTTGCCTACTGTGCATTTCACTTTTTTGCCCTAGCGACTAGCGCGCGTTCGTGTTCCCGAGCCTGTCCCCTTATTCTCTCAGAACACCTCGGGTACACTTGTTCGTCCAAGTACCTAGTGGTAGACACTTTGACAGTCATCACACTGTTATGGATTTGGCACAGTTGACATGAAAACTTTTTCTTATCAGTCATTATCATGTCACCCATCACAACATTTTGAACTTCGAAAGTACCTCACATGAATTTATCGACATTTAACTCTCTTTCACTACGACATTCTTAACTTTGTCACACAGTATCACATTTTCAAATAACGGAGTAGTTCGCTGTTTATTAGTCTCATGATTGAAATACTGATATCTGGATATTATCCGGTTGGAAGAGACAAGGACAAGTGAAACAAGGAAGTTAGGAGTAAGGGCAAATTTTCGGCGTCAACGCCATCTTCAGGCTCAATAAATGTAATAGATTTGTAGTGTTGTAATTAGTTTTAAACTAATTACAACACTACAAATCTATTACATTTATTGAGCCTGAAGATGGCGTTGACGCCGAAAATTTGCCCTTACTCCTAACTTCCTTGTTTCACTTGTCCTTGTCTCTTCCAACCGGATAATATCCAGATATCAGTATCACATTTTCATTAGACACCTACATTTTGAGAATCATTTAATTTTCGAATGGAATTTTACCGAATTAAAACCGAGTGTGCTGTGTGTGTGTTTGAGCGATTTGTACAACATTTCTGTAATGTTTCAAATTATATTCAAATGTTCTTTAAAAAAAAGGCCATAAAAGTATTTGACCCAGCCAAAAGAAATTTTAATAATATATCTCCCGCGGTTTTCGCGGATGTCGTGGTGTCAGTAAAATGGTAACAGATATAATATATCGTCTCGCTTTATATATAGTAAGATTACTGTCCAATTTATCGATGATGATATTACGCTAGGATGCTCTATTTTCTAGTGATTTGATTTAATATCAACAGCTTATTATTACAGGCAAAGCTCTTACACCTAAAAGAAGACAAAGACCAGGAAGTCAAAGCTTTACTAACGAGATGTCAAGATGCAGAAAAGAAAAAGCAGATCGAGGGAGCGGCAATCAACGTTACTCAACTAGCTATAGCAAACATAACTTCTCCATCTCAACTAGAGATGACAAACTCTCCGTCCACTAATCAAGTGGTCATAGAACTTACAAACAATATGGAACAACTAAAATCAGAGGTAGGTTTGTTCTTCACACCCCAGAGAACTTACAAACAATATGGAACAACTAAAATCAGAGGTAGGTTTATTCTTCACACCCCAGAGAACTTACAAACAATATGGAACAACTAAAATCAGAGGTAGGTTTGTTCTTCACACCCCAGAGAACTTCAAACAATATGGAACAACTAAAATCAGAGGTAGGTTTATTCTTCACACCCCAGAGAACTTACAAACAATATGGAACAACTAAAATCAGAGGTAGGTTTATTCTTCACACCCCAGAGAACTTACAAACAATATGGAACAACTCAAATCAGAGGTAGGTTTGTTCTTCACACCCCCAGAGAATTGTTTCCTAGTTCCTTCCCATCTCACCTTTTAATTTACACACGAGTCGCACATTTGGTTTGGTAACATTTGATTCTGTTTCAGTTGAACAGCAGTAAAGAAGAAGTTAAGTTCGTACTGGAGAAGATGGTGAAACAGGAAGAAGAAAATGAGAAGAAGATTGAAGATGAGAAGAAACTAACAGAAGCTAACTCCAAGTCTCATCAAACAGAGTTACAAAGCAAACAAGATGTAAGTTTTAATTCGAAATATATTGTATTATAAATAAAACAATGCTTAAAACAATTTCAAACTTTCTCTGTTATCGCTGTGTATTTGGCTTTCACAACTTGTCACCCGTCAGGTAATTGCTGATTTGAGGAAACAGATAACAGACTTAGAAGCAAAAACTATAGCTGATTTACCACAAGATGCTCAACAAACTATCCAGACATTCCAAGACAGGTAATACAACAGTTTTGTACTAATAAAAACCGGCACAAAATGGGGATCCTTACAAACACCTTAACCTAGTTGCTCAAGATAGGTAAATCCCATATAAAATGTTAAACATTTTACTTTTAGTTCTTCAAAGATATTCAAAGTTCTACTATAGTAATTTAGCTTAACTGATGAGTGATGATATTGCAGACTGGTCACACTGGAGCTAGAAGTTGAAAGTAAGGATGAACTGAAGAATAAACTGGAACTATCAGTTGAGCTGGAGAGAACTAGAGCTACTTCACTTCAAGAAGACCTTCATAGATTAAATCAATCCCTGGCAGACATGAGTGTTAGTTTTTATTTTCATTTTCCATCTTACCCACAGATTGGTTTATTTGTTGGGAGTTGTCTGGGTGAATAGTGGCCCCCCCCCCCCCCCCCCCCCCCCAATAATGCTGATTTGTATTATTAAACTGAAAGGTTACGACTTGTGACTACATTTCTATCCGCAGACAAAGCTATCGAATGTAAAAGAAGAGAAAGAGAAAGAAAACAAATCTCTACTGATAAGGTGTCAAGAGGCAGAGAAAACAAAGCATCTGGTAGAGGAGACTGCCAGTAAAGAACGTATTGATCTCAAGAACAATCTGGAACAGCTAAATTCGGAGGTTGGTATTTTCTGAAAAGCTAAGTAACTATGATTCGATGTTATATCAGTATTTCAAATCTTGCTAACTCAGTCAAGCAAAAACAAGCGGAAAAGAGCTCTTCTTCGTGTTGCCTTGGGGCTTCATACTATTATCTTTCAGTTGAACAGCAGTAAAGAAGAAGTTACGTCCATACAGGAGAAGATGGTGAAAAAGGAAGAAGAAAATGAGAAGAAGTTTGAAGATGAGAAGAAACTGACAGAAGCTAACTCCAAATCTCATCAAACAGAGTTACAAAGCAAACAAGATGTAAGTTTCGAATAGTTTGTTAGGCTTAGATCTTGAAAATTGGTCACGAAGCATATGCTAACAGGTAAGATTTGATAGATGGCTAATAATAAGTTTCTTAGATTATTGCTGAACTGAGAAAACAGATATCTGAGTTGGAAGTAAAGACACTTGCTGAACTACCACCGGACGCACAAGAAACTATCCAATCGTACAAAGACAGGTGATTTTAGTGAACACGTGTGGTCCATTATTTAACTTTTGGACTGAATAAGGACTTTGTCTTGTATTCGTCTTATGCACACAGGCGTTGGAGTCCAACGTTTGAACCTCAGTGTTGCATGTCCATCAGATCGCCAAATTTCTTATGTTAGATCGAATCAGACTGAATGGCTTTGAAGCTTGGTTTTAACCAGTAATTTATCAGTAAAACTAAAATCATATACATTATACATCTATAAGTATAAACTATATCATTTATCACTAGCGGAAACATGTACTTGTAAATCTTTCAAATATCAAATTATTCCTAGGCTCGCCTCGTTTGAGGACAAGGTTGAGGGTAATGATGAGATCAAAAAGAAGCTGGAACTTGCTTTAGAGCTGGAGAAAACCAAGGCTACTTCAATAAAAGAAAACAATGAGCGATTAAGCAAGTCTCAAGCAGACCTAAATGTATGTTATTAACATTTAACATACATTGTATGTTAACATTGTTCAGTTATAGTTGTAACAGTTTCACAGACTATTCTCGATCTGTCTAGGCTCTTTTCTCCAACAATTGTTCTTGAAATGGCCGTAAGTTTTATTTAGCGATGAATATTTGCAGACAAAACTAGAAAGCTTGAAGGAAGAGAAAGAGAAAGAAATGAAGGTTTTACTGACACGATGTCAAGAAGCGGAGAAGAGAAGTTATTTTGAGGGAGCTGCAATTAATGTGGCTCAGCTAGCTGTAGCGAATGCTGGTGAAATTGCTGTGCCAACTGTAGGTTGAATGGAAGGCTTTGAAACTGTTTATAAAAACTGTTTTCAAGCTTCCTGTGTAATGTGTTTGAATTTTGATCTGTCTAAAATACAGACCACACTTCTTCGCAAGAGCATCTCCGTGTGTAGCACAGCATTCTAACATTACAGAATTCTAGCATTCTATTATTAGAGCATTCTAATATTACAGAATTCTAACATTACAGAATTCTGTCATTCTAATATTACAGCATTCCGAATATAGCGTATGTGAAATTATACCAGTTAACAACTAAGTATTTCAAGCAGGCAGAGACAGCAGCTGTAAAGGAGACTGGGCTTGAATCCAACAAAATAGCTGATATGACATCTGAAAAGAATGAACTTGCAGGCCAGATCAACAAACTGAAACAGGACTCTGGACATAAAACCAAAACCATCGCTTCTCTGAAATGGCGACTTCAGGTTTGTAAAAATTTAAGAGATTAACCCCTGCCCTGGAATGTAAGTTCTTCAGAGCCAGAGCTTATTCCGGGAACAGTTTGTTTTAAATCAGTAGCTGTCAAAGTTAGCTCACAACTGTGATGTTTCAGGGGGAGAAAGCGAAGAGTGACTCGTTTGAAAAACACCTCAAGATGGTTTTGGCAGAGAGTTGTGAGGATGAAAAACAGAGAAAACACAACAACAAACGCCTGGTCAGCCACATTTTTGTGTCGTTCATTATTTGCTTCGTGAAATTTCGATCCAGAAAAAATTGAAAATGGCACAGAGAAAAGGACAATACGATTTTTCCATTTTTTCTGGGATTTTGACTTCCGGTAGTACCTCAATTTGGTCTCATACCATCCTCAGTTATCGAACTTATTATTGGTCACTGGGGGAAAAAGTTCACCAAATCTGTCAAATATCTATTCAGGAAATAATCTAAAATCGCATATGTTAACAGTAAAACTCGAAATTTCGCAACCGAATCAGTTATCTTAATGTGTCGTACTGCAGTACGTCATGTTAGATATAATGGAGAATAAATGTAACTGGTACAGTTGATTTACTGTATATAAATTAAAAGAAATATGTCATTCATTAACATAAACACAGAATGGAGCCAGCTAAGCATGGAGTCTAGCGGTTTCAGTTCCTCGTATCACGTATAAATAACTTCAGCAAATATTTAAATAGCAATTTCCGTACTAGCTTTTTTCGCAATTTTTTCAAAATTATATTAGCGTTCATCTCAATTTTATGTCAATATAAAAATGTATATTTACCGTGAACCTCTTTACACCGTGCTCATTTCTTCCCCCGATCTGTGTTTGGAGTTTGGACAGTTGGTGATTCATCAGAGCTCACATCGCTTATTGCATATAAAATGAGTGCATATCGAGTTGCATAAGCCCAGTATAAAGAGGTTTCACTGCATAAGTTCATACATTTTACTTTTCTTACAGTTTCAGTCAAGATGAACAAAAACCTCATCCCAAGCTATCAATATACACAAATATTTCCACTCAAGTTCGAAACTATACCACGAGGTTCACTCTGATTAAGATCTTTGTCCGTGATTTGAGGACGAATTTTAGGATCTTGTATGTGCTGCACCTCCTCAGAATGCACATTAGTAATAACGTCTTCCGTTAGTCGCAGCTCTACATCTTTAACATCGCTACATCGTTTTTACCTCTGCATCTTTGTTGATGGTTTGAGAGATGACTTCAGGATCATTTCTCTGCTGCACCAATGGAGAATGTACCTTAACTATCACATCATCAGCTGTTCCTTTTAACCAAGCACACCTGTCCTCGCCTGTAACGTTTGCTGAAGATGATTCCCCTTCTTTATCTCTAGCTTGGTTTTGGAGACCGGTAACTCCATCACCTACATATCACCGCGTGATGGAATATCAGCTATTGTCTTCGGTTCGACAGGTTCTTTCTGCTTTTCTTCTGTACTGAGAACACTACTAGCAGGTTCTCTTCTTGGAACTTCTATCTGCTCCATCTCAATAACTTCAGGTTGGGCAGTACTGAGAACACTACTAGCAGGTTCTCTTCTTGGAACTTCTATCTGCTCCATCTCAATAACTTCAGGTTGGGCAGTACTGAGACGTGCGATGAAAGTTTGGTAAATGGATGAATTGGTGATTCTGGCTGAGGTTGAGTTAAAAGATGCTCTGAGTAGTCCTGTGAAAAAATCTTCATAAAGGAATGGGTTTATCACAGAATTTATTGGCAAGATGATCATTGAGAATATACTGTACCATGGAGTTGCATCAAACACTTCTAGGGAGTGTAGCACACAGATAACGATGAAAGGCACCCAACAACAGAAGTCAGTAGTGATGATGATTGTTATCCTTCTACCCATTTTTCGGTTTCGATTACTAATTTGTCGATTGTTCTGTGGATTAGCAAGACCTTTTGAGGAATTTCTAGAAACAATTCCTATTAAAATGTATGATATTGAAATGAATAGGAAGCAGACAAAGTTTACGGTGAGTATCGCCCAAACGAAGTTTCTCTGGGGGTCGTTGTTGTCGACAAAATACTTAAAGAGGCATACACCGTCATTGCCATAGAAATCAAGCTTTGTGACTGTATCGGTGTGGTCTGGATATCCTACATCATGAGAGAACATGCCACGGTACATCTTTAGGATCGTTTCCCAACTCAGGTTTTTTCCTTTCATCCGTCCATAGTAAGCTTCAAGGACTGCGAGGACTTCTTGTTTGGTTTGAGTTCCGATAAAAAGTCTAAGCTCATCAGAAAATTTGTATCCGTTTACAAAAAAGTTTTCAAATGAGCTAATTATTGGTGCGATGGCAATGGCTGCAGATGTCATCACGATGCAAAGTACCCCTAGTGCCACCTTAACAGATTTTGCAAAGTTGACTTCACCTGGGACTCTGAGTGAACCTCTTATTCCATTTAGCCTAATGGTGCTCAACCCTGCCATGGCAAATAAGGAGATCTGGGATCCTATGGTACTGACAACACCTATTGTGGAGCACTGAAGGCTAGTCATCCATTCAATTTGACTTTTGCAGTAGTCTTTCTTGAAAATAACCGCGTCATATATTGCTATGACTAACAAATAGCAACCCACTAAGAAGTCTCCCAAAGATATCAAGATTATCAGAGATTTGTTAGCCAAGGAAACAGATGTCCTGCAGTGTTTCAGAGATCCTATGTTCTTTACCATTATGATCAGGTTTGCTAAAACAGCTAGCCCCCCTATGACTAATGAGCTTACTTTCAGAGCTACGTTTTCCAGTATCTGTCTTGAGCACTCCAGATTACATTCGTCAGACATGTCGAAGCAATCGAACTTATCATCACATTTCTTAACTTTGGTAATGATACGAGTAGAGTCGCATATGAAACCATTTGTACATGCCAACTCGTCAGATCTGTCGCCGCAATTATCAACCAAATCACAAACTTGAGAATAATTTATACATGTGACATTATTATCGCACACAAAATACTTATTCGAGTATAAGTTTTCGCGTGATTTGGTGAAGAACACCAGGTATTTGTTGTTGGCAATGGTTCCTATCCTATTAGGGTATTGATTAGAACAAGCATCGTATTTTGGCAGGTTCTTTAGTGGGCAGGTTGAGTTTTTACATCTATCTGTGCAGCTAGTGAAGACATATTGCTCCCCATACATGTGGTCACAATGTTGCTTACTGTCAGGGAGATGCAACTCTGTTTTTGTGTCCACTCCAAAAAAGTGATGATCTGGAAAGATGAAACGCTCTTGTGCGCAGTTGTCCTTTTTGAGATAGCTGATACTCCTTAGTCCTTTCATACAAAATGATAGATACTTGACAAAGCTATTTCCTTTGCTGGAGACTGAAGTGAAGATTGTAGAGGAATGTTGGGATAATGAACACATTCTTTTCTCATTACCACATGTTTCAAGTCCGTCACATAGATCGTTTAATTCGACGAAGCCGGGATCTCCTGAGGGGCACAGGAGAACATTTTCGCAAGTTTTATTGCTGGTTACTAATCTTCGGGACTTATCCTTTCCACATGTTGGCCAGATTTCCAGTTCATCAATACCATTTACACAGTCCTCTATACCGTCACCTAGCCAGGTTAAAGGTAACCTTAATTCACCTGCTTTTCCAACCCTTCTTTGGCAGGTGGTTTCCGTTTGCTTACGGCAGATTGGGTGTGTTTCATCGGATCTGTCATTGCAATCCGGGAGGTCGTCACACATCACGTGTTTGTGTTTATTAACACATGATTTTGAGATGTCCTGACATTGACTTTCCAGGTGATCATCACATATTTGAGCTTGTTTGTCTTCCATGCAAATCATATATTTAGAAAAAGTTGACCTGTATCCATCTATAGTGCACGATCCTCCTTCCCTAGCTTGGTCTGTACAATTTGTTTGATATTTCTTTAGATCTTCGTCTTCACAATACTTAATATACGGATTTTGTCTATAATCCGGATCCTGAGAATCTTGTCCGCTCAGTACTCCACACTTGATGAAGTTGTGGACCGGCACGAGTCTACCAGTAGCAGAGTGTGTACATGTGTTCTTTGTTTGGTCAAAAGGGGAACCGGTCACTGTGGCGGAAGTCACTGCGGCGGTGTACAGTCCGGCGGAGGACTGAAAAGCATTGCAGTCGAACTGATCCTCTCCGTAATCACACCAATATGATCCATCGCATATAAAACTTGGAGGAAAGTATTTGTTAAGATTGACAGTTCCACTGTTGGAAGTGGACTTACAATAAATTCCATAAGTCAGACCATTACAGTATGCTTCATCCTCACAGGACCAAGTGTCACATATATCATTACATATAAAGCGAGGATCTACTGCTAGACCACTACGTAACATAGTTTTATCTGTACAATTTTTTTCATCCATATTATCCTCACAGTGTTTGATACCATCACAAAGCAATCCCATTGTTCTCAAAGTGCTAAGTAAAATCATTTCATTTCTATCACTCACACTCCGACACAAATAATTCTCACATAATTTATCACTGCTACTTATCATGAAACCATCAAACCTTGTGTTACAAGCCTGATAGTAGTAGGGGTCCTCAGAGCATAACGATTGTTTAAACCTGTTAGCGTAATACACGTCATGGCCATAGTAGAACTCTTCCGTGTTGTGACACTTGAACTTCTCTCTGTCTTCTCTTGTAGGGGGACATTTGTACTTTAGGAACCCGCCATGTTCTCCAATGTAGCATTCTTCTGAATGATAGCATTTTATTTATTTTCCTTTAAAATAAATTTGAGGCTGACAACCTCGAGAGGACGTAATACTAATGACTGACACTGTTTTACTGATGTGATAGCTAAAATAGCCATTATACCTCCGTTATGTGAGTATGTGATAGGGTAGATAGTGCAATGTCATTATTTAAACAAATTCTGTATATTTGCTGCACAGTAACTGCTTATATTAAAGTCACTATTGTGACGGTACATTAGAACTAGACAGAAACAAAGTGTGAAGGGCCTGAACGGAACCCTTCGGTTTCAGTTCCTTGTTTAACACTGCCGTACAGCAAGGACATCCACCGGGTTCTCCAAGGATGGGCACATAGCTCACTCCATACTATGCTCTGTCAAATGTTGCTTATATACCAAGGATCTATGTGAAATATTTCCTTGTAAGTTTAGAGGGCGATCTGTGAACAGACAACTACCTCATT